ACCTTTTGAAATTACAACAAAAAAAAATACGTCTAAAAAATATTAATATTATTACCTTTTTCAAAGACAAAATAAAATATTTCTTATTTTTTTTTCTCGAAAATTAATAAAAATGAAAAAGTCGAGGTGTTGTTTCTTTGGCCATTAAGTGTATTATTTTTTTTTACACTGGTGTTTCTCTCTTGTTCGTAAGAAAATGCGATATTTCTCTTTTTTTATTACTCTTTCTTTCGGTTATGTCCTAAATATCAAAAATATATTTGGCAAACTTTCGAAACTTCAACGAAAGAAGAAATGAGCCATTTTTTAAATATAAAAATAAAAAACAAGTATAAACATAATTCTAGAAAATTCCGAAATTTTAACATACGATTTCAAAGTTTTGTTTTATTTTTTTCAGAATTTCAAACAGGTTTAGGACACAGCCTTAGTATTGGTTGTTGGATACCTTACAATCCAAGACAATTTTTTTCTAAATCTTTCTCTATCTTATTTGTCTCGAAAAAACCCGGTCCAAAATAAAAATTATTTGTCCGCCCGGCCGGGGATAGTTGGATGGAACCATTGCTGTGTTTTTTTTAGCTGGTTAAGAAAAATGGTTACCGCTAATTTATAGTCAAACACTATCGTTTTCAAGACTATAATTTGAATGGAGGAGATATAAAAGATTCCTTGCCTCTACGCTTAGCGAATTTTCTTTCGGCAAGCGCCTTGTGGATTGAGCTTTGTTTTTAATCCCATTACCCAAACCTTTCCTAGTGTGTTAAAAAATAAAAAGGTAATTACTTTTAATAAAGTAAATACTATAGTAATATAATTTAACTCGTTTCCGTTTTCCTTTATATTACCGCCTTTTTGACAAGGTGTTATTATTTTTTTTTTTGAAAATTTAAAAAAAAATGAAAGAAGAAAAGTAAACAAACTAATTCCAAAGTTCCTTTTTTTCCGACCAATGCGATTAAATTTCATTTCCATAATTTTCTCCCGATCGGATTGAATTCCTTACGTAATTGTAGAAACTACTGGTATTGCTATTCAATATTTTACCCGGAAAAATATTATGCGAGCCTGAAGATTTTGCTCATAGTTGGCACAAAGGTTTGGATACATATGGCCAATATTTTTCCGGAAAAAAATATTGAGTTAGCCTTTTCTTAAAAATCGGCTCAAATCGCGCTAAAAATATTAACTGCAGGTTTTTATAATTGTTGTTTTTTTTGGGCCGAAATTATTATACTATTTTTCTTATAAAATATTCCAATTTTTCTTCTTCTAACTATAATAAATTTCAATATTTAAAGTTAAACAAAATGTTGACCTAACACTTAAATTTTGTTTATTTTTTTAAAATTTATTTACAAATAAATTTAATTTTTGGATATGAGACTGCGGAATATTTTTATGATTATTAATGAGCTTGGGAATTTTTTTTGGGCTGGGCCATACTGTGGGCCTGGACCAGACTTCATCAAAAAATTAAGACCTATGAAGGTCTGATACCGATATCTAATTCGCGCAGAATTCTGAATATTTGCATTTGCATTTGACAAAACAAAATTCATTTTCATTTAGCCATATTTTTCTAAATATTTTTATAATTAGTAAGTAGTGTTACTAAGTGACCCGATTTAGCCGATCTTTAAGAATGGCTTACTCAAGATTTTAGCCAGAAATGAATTACTCGAGCTTGAAGATTCTGCCCACAATTTTGGCAGAAAGATTTGGGTATTTTAATGCCGAAATCTCCAGTCTTTGGAAATTTTTTTTTTTTCGTTTTTTAAAAAAATTGGTTATAAATCAAGCCATTTAACACTACTAATTAGCCAATGTTACACTAACCCTTCAGCCTATAGGCTATCCACTGCTTAAAGATAAATTCCGATCACCTATTCTAGTAAATTATTTGCACTTTAGAGTTTGCCCAATAAATACCTGTCACGAAAATATTTGCTATCACCATTGTATCGCTTCGCGATTCAATAAGTATTCGTAAAATGCTTCTGTAACTTACATTATTTATGAGTTTTCTTTCATTATCTTTTTCTTAATATCGAAATAATTACATTACAAAATAAAAAGATATAAATCCTAATCTAATAATGATAATACGAAAAAATAATGTCATAGTTTTTATTTTGCCAACGACAGATAACCATCTTCCATTTGGATTAGATAATATATTTTTCATTTATCTTCTTAAACATGAAAACGAAATGATGAATAAAGAAAAGGAACTCTTTTATTTTTATTAGTTTAAGTACATTATATAAATTATTATTCATAGATATTTTATTTTATTTCGTTTTTCGTTAATTTTATTTTTTCTTCCTTTCCATATTTAACAATAATAAATTTAATTTTCTTTTCTCATAATATATTATATGAAACTTTTAATTTCCTAAAATAGAAAAAAAATATTCAAAATAAAATTGGAAAATGAGATAATACTTTTGTTTATAATATTTAATTTTTTTTAATTAAATTTTTATATTTTTATGACAATCACGAAAAGGTATGTTGTTGAGATAAGGAAATTATTAATTTTTTATAATAATATTTAAAAACGTTGATTTTTTCTTTGGAGTTAGAACCTTTATTTATTCAAAAAAAATAAATAAATTGGAAGTTTGAATTCGGAATAGAGCCCATTTGTTTTTTTTAGGTTCATTAGCTTGGGTCGAGCCGGGCTGGGCTGGGCATATCTTTTCTCTCGAAAATCTTGTGTAACGTTTTCCGGTTCTTACGGTTCCCGCGTGCTTTTTCAACATTTTAGGTTCCCTTTCGAAGAAGCGTTATTATAGGCGGGATTATAACTATAGTTTTAGTATTAAAGTTTTCTATAGCAAATATTTTTTTCCCCCATTCATTTCATTATATCATTTTTACTCCGAATTAGATTTGTTCAACGAATCGAATAAAATTTTAATATTCATCATATCATACATACTAATGCTGCTAATAATAAAATTCGATTTATACAAATAATATAATACGAATAACTAACGAACTCAAAAACTTGTTAAACAGGGTTGGACGCATTGGGTTATAATTAATGATGGTAAAAGTTTACTTTTGAAAAGTAATTAGTCATACGTTACATTTTTTTTAGAAAAGTAATTAGTCACAGTTATTCGTTACTTTTTTTTTCGTTATTTAGTTATGTTTCAAGTTACTTATAAATTATTTATATAACTCATCATGAATATATATATATATATATTTATATATAATACAACATAATTTTGCGATATAAAAATTTTAATTAATGGGAAAATGAAAATAACAACATATCCAACGAAATATTTGCACCTAATTAGTTTTTCAAAAAAAATTGGCCTAAATATTTTTCTATTTGACTTTAACGTTAAAATATTTTCTAGATTGGTATCTAAGGCGTGCTGGGATTTCTTTTAAAAATAAGTTTTTCTTGGGAACTAAGAAAACGTTCTACATGAGCACCTGATGAAATTAGACATCATATTTAGGGGAATCATGACACAAAAATAATGAAATAATGAGATATAGATATATTTGATATTTAAGATATTTTATAAAATTGACTTTAAAAGTAACTGGTTTGCTTTTGTCGTTAATTCCAAAAGAATGTAATTTAAGGCAGCGCCAAATTTATATTAATTTTTGAGACCTAGCTCTGCCCGATTAACAAATTTAAAACCGTTCCGTCTTGGTAACGCCATAACCCCCCGCTCCTCCCCCATATTAATAAAGTCTCGTGCCCACCCCTCTCGCTTACCGGAAATTTTATTGTATTCGCGTAGTGTTAGCATATTTAAATTAAAAATAACGAATCAGATTTATAGAATAGGTACTTAAAAGAGTTTATTTTTCAATTTTAAATCATGTATTTTAAAGGGATGTAAAATCCCATTTTTTTTGCCAGAAATGTATTCCACTCCAACCCTTGTAAAAAAAATACCCCTCCATAAAGTTCCGTCAAATTTTTTTAAAATATTACACAAATTGACCTGATCACGCAAATTTTTTACCAATAGTGTTGTTAAACGGCTCGTTTTGAGCCGATTTTTTAAAACGGCTAACTCGATATTTTAGCCGGAAAAATATTGCCTAAGCCTCGAGATTTCGTTAATATATATCTAGACCTTTGTTTCCTTCTATGAGCAAAATCTTCAGGTGTGGTATTTTTCTGGATGAAATATTGAGTTACCCGTTTTTAAAAACCGGTTCAAAACGAGCCGTTTAAACAATATTTAACAACACGTAGTATTGTTAAAAAGCCCTATTAAGATTTATAACCAAAATAACATTTTGCAAGACTAAAGATAGCGCTCATAGCTGGGCAGAAATGTTTGGACATCTATTTGCCAAATCTCGAAGCTTACATTCCATTATTTTAGCTTAAAATCTTAATCGTCCCATATCGGGCTCTTCAACAACACTACTAAAACATGGTCGCGCTAACAAAAAACAGAAAAGCACTCATTTTCTATTTTAAAAAAAAACAATGACTAATAATTTTTCGCATATTTTAAAACTATGACGTATTTTTTAAAAGTTATGCGAGTAAATCTTTCTAATTCCCTCTCCCCCCTTTAAAAATTAATTTTCTTTCTATTTTTTTTAGCCACGAGGCGATGATTCTGTACGCTTAAATTCGACAGAAAAATATTATTTTATTTCTATTACGATCTCATCATAAAAATAAATGGTAATAATTATAATCTAATTAAACTTATAAGGAATAAATAATTTATATATAATATATAATTTTTTTTTTTTCATTCCTTCCGAAAAAATAAATAAATAAAAAAATTTTTTTATAATAATAATAATAATTATAAAAATGATTTTTTAAAATTTATATCCTTGAAAAAATTATATAAAAATTGATATATAAATTATAAATTTAAAATATAATTTTAATTTTTTTTTTATTATTATTTAAAATAAATTATGAAATTTTTATATTTATTTTGGAATAAAAATAACTACATTTTTTTCATTTAATTCCTTCTTTTTTTTTTGTTGTTGAGGAGATATCATTAATCATCCATAATCTTCAAACGAAACGCTTATAGATTAGAAGAATTATCAATCGTGTATTCCAACGTATAAATAAGAAATACTCCGAGCTTCGATTTTCTGATTGCTAAAACCCCAAAATTGAGTATTTTTAAATGATGCATTCAAAGAATTCTCGTTTCTAGTCATCCGAGATATTTCGGTTATATATATTCCATTCTTTCTGTAGCTGCTCTTGCCACTTTACGCCCATTCGCCATACAGATAAAATTTTAGTAATCGCTAATTCACTATATATATATATTTTGCTTTTACTTCAAAAATAATTCTTCCTACCATCAATTTAAAGCATTTTAATCGTGCCTTCCAAAGCTTTTGCCATTTTCAATTATCAAAATAACTGAAATAAAAAACGCTCCGTCATGGATGCAAAATCGCGTTACGGGAACTTCCCCTTGACGGAACTTTGTCTTAATCGTCCTAGTCCTTCAACCTGGTTATACAAGGAGGGGACCCTGCTAAAAGGCGGGTTAGCCAACGGACAAACTTTTGACGGGCGGTCCGAACTCGAGAAAAATTTGGCGCAAACAAAACGGAACGGCTACCGGGAAATTCCCGTTTTCTTAGAAAAACGGACAAAGAATAACCCAATTTTTTTGGAAAATCAAATTATGGGTAGTTATAAGCCCGTTCCTCGTAACACCGACTCTCACAATGCTGGTTCGATTATTATAGAAACCGAGAAAGATAAGGGCCGCGGTTACAAACTAGTGGGCGTCGTTGAACCAATGAGAGTTAAAGATAGATCTTTTAGCCCGGATATTGTCAGTAATGGCAAAATATTTCAACCAAATCACTTCACTCATCATACCGACTTGAAGGGGGACGTATGCGATAACCTTGAAGGGGAAAATTATCCGCCCCCTCCACCCAGGCGCAGAATGTCCATATCTTGCATGGGGAAGGACCTTTTCAAAGATGGCTACGTCACGCGTGATTTCCATCAAAACGGTAATATGTTAGGGAATTTTTTCCCGCGGAATCTCGAGACCCTACTGACCAAACCCTCGCATGGCACTATCGATAGAAAAGATAGAGATTTTTACAAGCAATTTAGTTCACCTTCGGCTTACAGCCATGTTACAGATGTCAATGATACCATGATATGCGATATGAATCGCAGTATAAGCATACCCGTACAATACGTCAATTCGAGGGATTCGTATTTCCCGCGCTCCCTGACTCGCCCGATTAAAAAAACTTTCGACAAATTAATGGGTTATAACGGTGATACGACTAAAATTAACCACCCTAGGCCGCTGCCCTCTCAAAGTTTTTCGAACACTCCTCTGTACCGCCATAATAATAATTTCGAAAAATTTCAATCGACCAATCCTACCTCGCGGCCACTTGTCCCTCCAAATAATTCCAGTTTTCCTTATTCGAAACCCATTTCTCAAACATCAAAGACCCCTTATTGTCATTATCCTAGCTTGTCAATATCTAGCCATTTAAATAATTCATCTAGCCCTAAAATTCACGCGGAATCAGAGATAGCCGGAGTCGTAGAAGAAGACGATTTTGCCACTCTTCTCGCCAAGATTAAATCTCTCTGCAAAAACTCTCAATCGCCTATTTCTACCACTTCTACAAATACCACTGATGACTTAAACCCGTCTTCTAAGGTCTTCGAAATCGGAAATAACCCTAGGCCCACCGTTCTAGACCGGGTCGAGGCACTGGAGAAAGTTATAGCCATGCCACCCTCAGCCCCATCTAGCCCCACCCTGAGCCAAAGGTGTAGACCCTCCTCTCTCAAAAGGTCTTCTTCTTTTCTTGTCACCTTACCGCGTTCCACCCCTAACGATTCTAATCATAACTCCTCTTCTAACACGAGTAGTCGTAAAGAAGGTCATAACAGCCGTAACTCCTACCCGGCCAAGGGCATACTCAAGAAAACAGCACATGGTAATAACGGAAGTTTGCCAGCCGACATAGACAATTGTGAAACAATTCTCAAGGACGCTCGAGGGATGGAATTAGATTGGAAAGCGCGGAAACTCAACGACTCCCCCATGCTTTACAAGCAGAGCCTAGCTTCACTGAAGATGCTTTCTAACTGTCTTAACGAGTCTTTCGACAAATTTAATGAAGGAACTGTTCAAGGTAGTATTAGATCAGGCGGCAGAGAAATCGTCAATGGCTCGAAAAATAATAATCCGATCCGGCCATTGGGAAGGACCAAATCTGTCCGATTTTCGGATACCGTCAGCCGGCAGTTTTTCAAGCCCAACCCCCCGGAAATAAATATCGATAAGCAAGGAGAGGATATTAAAATGTCGCAAAATTTGAACGAGGAGCCAAAAGACGAAAGTATCGAAGAAACGGAAATGAGAAACTTGCACCGATACGTGATCCCTAGGCCAAGGATATCCAGCTTTCAAACCGGGACTCGATAACCGATTAAATCAACGCCATTTTTGATATCGAGTATTCGATATTTAACGTTGGACCCGGCGTGATCATCGAGATCAACCTTTAAAAATATCTTTCCCTTCAACCCACTTATCCATTCCCCCTCTTTTTTTTTTATCTAACCAAAAAAAATCATATAAAAATCTCATCTTGTCAACAATCCTCAGGGAATATATTTTTATTTTTTTTTATGGAAATTTTTTTTATACGATATAATTTTTAAAAAAATTACACCTTTGACTTTGACGTACACCTCACCCCCTTAAATTATTAATTTTTCGAGTCCCCCCTTCTTTTTATTTATTTCTTTCTTCTCTTTATTCTTTTTTAAAATATTTGTTTTTTTAAATAAAATAAACCATGCATTTATTGCGTTTCGCGTCCATTTTTTTAAAAAATAATAATCATCAGAGATCAGAATATTTAATCTAATTTCTTAAAATATAATTTTATTATCGATACAAAAATTTAATAACTAGAGGTATAGACTAGACGAAGAAAAGCAAAAAAATTTGAAATTTTGATAATGTAATTTGTAAATTTATTTATACAGATGCGCGCACCGCTTTTCGCGGGAGTCTTGTTGAATCGTCATCGCGAACACTATAGCATTCCTTACGCGAAAATACTTCATTTTTTTTTACCTTGTAAATTTTTTTTTTTTGAAATTCTAAAAATATAAAAATTTATAATTTTTCTTCTAATTTTTATTTTTAATTTTTACAAAAATAATAAAAAAAATTTTCTATTCGTCAATCATTTTTTTTTCGTTTAATTGGGTATATTTTATTAGAATTGATTCTCTTGGTAGGAACGAAATTGGGATAAGTGGCGGAAAAGGGGATTTATATTCCTCGGAAAATAATATTTTTCTTTTTTGTCAACCTATTTTTTTTTTTTTTTTGAAATTAGATATTTATAAGTGCCACCCTGCGAAAGTATATATTGTAAGTTAAGTTATAAATTATTTTTTAAGAGATATAATTAATATTAATATCTTCACATCCTCCGTCATAAATAATATATATTTTTTGGACTCGTGACTAGGCGTTGTCAAAATTGCGGATATGTTGCTCCTCCTTAAAAAGGGCAAAATTTAGTTTAGAGAGTACTGTTGGGTATTCGGCGCATCTTCGAAGCAAACCGAAACAAATTCGCTGAACTCTGAGGCTCCAGCTGATTTATATATTTATTTTTGTTGGTTTAATCCTCTCGAAACCCTTCTTTATTTTTGAGTGAGAGTTCGTGGCTGAATGGATAGTTTTTCGGCTAAGTAAAATTTATCCATTTTTTATGCGTTAAGCGTCATTACTCTCCCCCCCCCCCTCCCTTAATATTGTACAAATTATAGACCCACCTTGACATCATTTTAGCGACCTTGTCCGGTCCGAGAAAAATACTACGAGTCCGCCAGACATAGCACGGGTCATACCCTTTCCTCGCCAAGAGCTCTTAAAAAATAATTAATCGAAAATATAATGCCATGCCCTCTCCCCATTGACACATAATAATACCTATGTTGACGATGCATTCATAATAATGCATTTGAAAGCGTCGTTGAAGGCAAATCAGCTTTACCCGCCTTTTTGCATATAGTAATTATTCGCATCTTAAAAACTACTATTAAATCGATAACTTGCCTCCTTATTATCTCGATGATCAGACAATTCTTTAATAAAGTTCGCGTCCAGACATATGAATACAATTGACCTCTCGTTAAAATTTTTTTAAATAATGATATGGGTAACCAAAATGGCGTTTCCAGCTGTTTTTCATCGATGTACTACACTTTTAATTCGTCAGTTTTAGGTATTATTATTATATGTCATTGCCTTTCCCCCCCCCCCTCTCCCAAAAAATAAAAGTAATTTTTCAACTTTTTTTCTTTCTTATCTAAAATAAAAATACGATATATGTAGTAATTATGATTAACTAATTATAATAACTAGTTATGAATACTTAATAAATTCGAGCTCTTATCCTTGATAAGAAAAATAACTTCGCGTAAATAAGAGAAAATAAAATAATTTCGCGAAATGAAGGCGGGGAAAATGGAATTAATTATTTACGTTATGCGTAATGTTTTTACACATGTTTACATAAATTATTATTTTTATTTTTACAAGAACACTTTTTTTTTAATGTTATATAAAAAAAAACTCCTCTAAAAAAACTTGATTTTGAAAAAAAAAACGAAAATATTTTATTGAAAATTTTGGAAGAAGGGGGGTGGGGTGGTGAAGTATTAATTGTTTTTTTTAGTATTCCTATTAGAGATCTGCAAAGGAAGGCTTAATTTTTTTTAAAAAAAATATTGGGTTCGGGCCTAATATATTTTTAAAAAATTCGGGCCGGGCCGGGTCGGACCTTAGAATTTTTTTTAATATCTAAAATTTATCAATTTTATGTTGAATTTTTTATGTAAAATAAAAAAAATGCTATTTTATTTGTACAAACTAGACGCCATATGATATATATCTTTTATTTTGAGTAATTATAATATTTTTAAAAGAATGAATTTTTATATTTAAATAAATTAGGGCCGGACCGGTAATATTTTTAATAAAAATGACGGTCCAGGCTTAAAAAATTAGGCCCGATGCATATCACGAATGCCCATAATTTTCAATTACTCATCATTTATTCCAATGGTTCGAGGGTTCGAAATTGTTTGGTTAGCAATTTTTTTTTACGGACCAAGTTTTGACCGAATTATGGACAACAAACCCGCACCCCATTCCGATTAAGTTAACGTTATACCCTCTAGTTTATTTCAGGCCCATCCGTTTGTAGTAATTTTTCCCCTTTCTAAAAGTCAATTTTTTAAAAAAATACCTATTATTTAAGATCACGAAAAAAACAAGTTTCATTCTTGGAAAAACTAAAGGGGAAGAAGGGCATGGAAAGTTGAATTCAAAATAATTTTCTCGAAGGTTTTATGGTTTTACAAGATTTACCAATCACTTCTTACTAAAGGTTCGCGCTACTAGGTTTAAACCGTTCCCTGGTTTCCAACCCGGTTTGTCAAATGATTTTATACAAGCGGTCTGGTCTGGCTCGTATTAAAATGAGAAGGAAAAAACTTCATAAATTTACCTAATTATATTAAAATAAGGTTCAAAACCCATAAAAAAATTATTTTTCATAAATTGTCCAATCCCACGGGCTGCACCCTGATCTAATTCTCACATATTAAATCGATAAATTTTGAAAAAGTATTTTATTTTTGATACCAATTTTGTATATTATGCCATCATTTTATATTACTCACCGAGGAAACTCGAATCACATTGATTGTGACTAAATTTATACTTAACGAAACATTGACTTTTGATAAGGTTTTCCTTACGCCTTCATGTTACCTTTTTAAGACGTAGCGTCCAGTGGCTGCGTAATTTATGAAATATTTCAAAAGTTACTACTTATTGTTACATTTTTGAAAAAGGTTTCTAGTTCGTTACATTCTAAAACACTTGCATGTTACTAGTTTGAGTTATCTTTTCTCTAAAAAACTATTTCTGTTTCACCTTTTGGCGTCACGTCACCAGCTGATTTTTTTTTTATATTGGTACACACATTACCAATGAATTCTCAGTCTAGATAGTATGATAATGTCATCGATCATATCACATCTTGAGAAAAATTACAAGACACACTTTTCGAGTATTTTAGTCCGGACTTAATTACGTTAATATTTTGGCCCAATTACTGGTGTCCATTTTGAATTTAAAAAGTTTCTCTTCAAATAATATTTATTAAATAAATCAACCATTTTTTTTGTATTATTTTACTCCCAGATTACGATTTCGATAAAATCGCCGCCGATTCCGCCTGCGATGAAATTGACCACGCACTTAACAAAGTATATGTTTATTTTTTTTAATATAAATATATGAAACAAATTTTTTGGTTAAGTTCGATTTCCTCCAAGGCATTTGCGCCAAAATTTAAAATTTGAATAAGAAATTAGTTTACAGATACAAAATGGCTATCAATTTGTAACTGCTTTTTAATGGATACATTCTTTGTTTTTTTAAAAAAAATCTTCCAGATTATGTGTCATCTATTTACTTCTATCTATTTATGCTCATCCGCGTTGATAAATTTTTACTGTAACCTAACATTGGCGTTTTCTAAACCGTTATACCTCTTATTAAGTGGGAAGATATTTTAGATATACCATACCAACCCCAGCAAAGTTCGAAATTTTAAGGCCGGCCCGGATTTAATTTTTTTCTACCCGACTTTTTTTTTTTTTAATTTAAATATTTTCCCATTTTTAGAACAAGTTTCATACTAAGGCCTTCAGATTTTCTGAAGTAGTGTTGTTAAACCGTGAAATGTATATTAAAAAGGAGCAAAATAAATCTTTTTGAAATTGGAATATCTTATTATATCCTATTAATTACAATTATCTACCTATATATATATAAAATTAATATTTAAAAAAAATTAGGTTTCTCTAAAGTGACACAATTGTAAAGATAAATTTGAGCCGATATTTAAAAACGGCAAACTCAATATTTTATCCCGTAAAACATTACGCAAAAGCGTTAAGATTTTGCTCATATATGGCACAAATTTCAGGCAATATTCTGTCTACAATATTGAGTTCGCCTTTTTTTAAAAAAATTATCAATATTAATAAGGAAAAAAAAATATACCTTTTAAATTATTAGTTTTTCAATAAATTTAAGCCTCGAATTTTTTTAATTGTCAGGTGGTGAATTTGTCATTATAAACATTTCTAATAATAATTTTAATATTTATAAAATCGATAACCAATTTATTGATGAAAAAAAAATTTAAAAATTTCCCCTTCCATAATTTTTAAGTGATTTTTTAAAGTTTTATAAATTATCATTGATGGATTTAAGGATAAAATAACTAAAAATGAAAAAAAATGAAGGAATTTTCATAAAAATTATTCCAATATTTTTTTAAAAAAAAAGAAGGTGGGAGGGGGGGAATATCGTGAAAGTAGTTCTTTTTTTTAAAAGTGATCAGATTGAAAAATTTAGCCAAAATAATATTGTGTGTAAGCCTCGAGATTTTGGCAAGTAGAAGCCCAAACCTCTCTGTCATCTACAGTGTTGTTATGCTACTATACTTTAGTCAACTATAAAATAGCGTAGTGGGTAAAATCCCCCAGGCTTACACGATATTATTTTGATTGGTTACCATCTTAATCGGGCCGTTTTCAAAAATCGGGTTTTTCAACAACACTACCCGAAAGTATTTGATTATTTTGAATAAGTTAAGGGAAGAAAAAAAAGTGGTTATATATATATATAGGTTTCGAAAATTTCCGACGATCCGAAATTCTCGATACCGACCAGATCCGGTATTTATTACCGGATAGATTTGGGCGAATATCTGTTCGGATCGGTGAAGCCGGATTTTTTTTAACCGCCTATCTCGAAAGTCATGTATTTCGTGCATGCGAATATACAATGTCGTGGAACAGGAGCTGTGTAGTGTATGCTTCTTTCTTTATTTTTTTTTAACCAACGCGATACCTTTCAAGTGAAAATTACGCGAAAGCTGAAATAATAGTTATAGGAATAAAGAAACGAGTTCGTTCATACGAATAAGATTTGAATGACATGTAATTAAGAATTTTTTTTTAAAAAGCCATAAGTTAACTTTGTATATAATCTTATTTTATTTAACTCAAACAGAGTCAAGGTTTGATTTTGAAAAGTAATCGTCAGCTGTCAAAATGCACTTTTTTCGGTGAATAAATTCTTCAGTACTATAATCATTAAGTAGGGTCATGTGACTCACTTTTATTTGTTAAAATGGCGGCTCGTGTATCAATATTACCGAGACCTCATTTATAGTAGGCACGATATTAGCACATCATCGCGTTACCTACCGCCAGTGGCGTAACTAGGAATTTTCCTTAGAGGGGGTCCATACATATAAAAGCTAGGGGGCTTCGCCCCCCCCCCCCCCCCAGACCCCTTTTAACGGGCCTTCCGCCCTTTTGCCCGGCCTTCGGCCGGGTTTATCTTACAAATCATAACCATAACTTCGATAATTTATAATAAATATATTTTTTAAATGCATCAATAATATGTTATTATAATTTAGTAGATTATTCTCTATGACTTTATAATAATACTATCCAGAATAATTTCAATAGTAATATAATATCCTTCCACAAACATCAAAACCAGAAAAATATAATTCATATAAAATCACTTTTAAGTCTTTTGAACCTATAATCTAAAAAAAAAATTTGCTCTGGGAGGGGTCCAAACCCGAAAACCACCCCCGTAGCTACGCCACTGCATACCGCTGTGCTATCATTTAGCGATCATCATCGTGGCCATCTTCGCGCTTACTATAAACGAGACCTAGTCCCACGGTGGGTTTATAATTTCCTCTATTTTTTTAATCTTTTTTTTTTGGCCCATTCCTGGTTCATTCGAAACATAAAATTTTTAGATCGCTTATGATATATAAACCTTTTTTTTACTTCCTCTTCCCTTGCTCCCCCTCTCGATTCTAAAGGGCGAGCTAAATCTTCAACCGACCGACACTCATGCCAGTGAAGAAATAGCATTTAGGACCAACCCCATCAATTTCAAGTCACTCACCTCTAATCATTTAGCCGCGGCCAGCTCCGCTAGGTCTATTAGCGTGCCTCCTGGGAAAAGAAATAACTTAAACCCGCACAATTTGGCTCACAACTCCAAACTAAATACTCCCTTACCCGGTAAATATTTTTTTTTCTTCTTCTCCTTACTCCTCTCTATTAAATAAAACTTAATATATTTTTCCCTTTTTTTAGAGATAAAATATCTTAAACATACAATCTTCTTTTTCGGGGGGTATTTGTTGAACTAAAAGAAAAGGAAGCTATTAAGTTAATATAACTTTTCAAATATAGTAAAGAAAAGTGTTGAAATTTGACTCCCTTTATTGCTGTAAGGAATAAAGGTAAAAAAAAGAAGTATTTGAACACTCCAGATTTTTAATGAATCGAAATCTTCAAAGAAGAGAAAACAATTTATTTTTTTTCCTTATCTTTTTTTTTTCTAAAACATTAATTAATTAGTTCGGTAAAGTAGGGTATATTTTGAACTAAAAGAAAAAGAAGCCATTAAGGTTAATATAACTTTTCAAATCTAGTAAAGAAAAGTGTTGAAAGATGACTCCCTTTATTGCCGTAAGGAATAAAGGTATTAAAAAAAAATAGTATTTGAAAACTCTTTTCCTTTTCTAAAATTTTCAAAAAAGATATCTTATCAAAACCATCTTAAAATCGAGGAACAACATATTCTACCTTACTTTATCGATATTTTTTTCAGTTTAAAAAAAATTTATTGTTTAACCGCACTCGAGACTAATGGGGTTGGGTAAATTCTTTTTATTTTCTATAGTTTTTTAATATTGTTTTTAAATATGGCTCAACTTTGAGGAAGAAGAGGAATAAAAAACAGTTTAAATTACTTCCGCGCTCAACTTACCGGAATTTTTTAGCGCCAATTTTTTTACAATTAAGGCAATAATCTTTTTATCCATGTTTTTTTTTAAAAAAATTCCTCATATTAAACAAACCAGGTTCCGCAGGTGCCATGGATGAAGAGAGCTTTTACGATAGCTTCGAAGAAGTTCCTAAACTTCACGTAAAAAATAAAATAAAAAATGGCGTGTTATTTTTTTTTTATATTCTTTTCAACCTTTATCCTTAGCTCGGTACAGTTTTACTAAAAAAAAATAGATTTAATAGCTAACGAAACCAGAGTTGTTAAAAGATACTTTTTAAATGGATCTAGATACGGATACATCGTATAAAATAATATCTAGATACCGATATTTTAATCAAAAATCTATCTAGATACAGATACAGATACCATATTTTTATATCTAGATACAGGATCTAGATACTTTTATCTAGATCCTTTAACAACTCTGAACGAAACAGTCAAAGTTACGAAAATAAAAATATATATAGTTCTTGGATAGTGTTGTTAAACGACTCGTATTGAGCCCATTTTAAAAAACGGCTAACTCGATATTTTAGCCAGAAAAATAATTGCCTAAGCCACTAAGATTTCGTTGATAGATGTCCAAATCTTTGTTCCTTCTACAAGCAAAATCTTCAGGCTTGCGTAATATTATTCTGGATGAAATATTGAGTTAGCCGTTTCACTAGTTCTGAACATAGCTTTGAATTTCTCTATTGATTTAGTCGTTGGATTGTTCCTTTTTTTTGAATCAGAAAATTGAACCTTTAAAATCACTTAAAAATATGTCTAAGGGGACAAAAAAATTTTTAACATTCAAACGAAACAAAAAAAAAATATTATTTTAAAAATTTATAGATATAATTTCAAAACATTTAAACGAAATGCAAAAATTATTTTTGAATTTAATTTCAATTAATTTCCTTTTTTTTTGTATCTTTGTAAAGAAAAGATTATTTTTTTCATGGTCCGTGCTCTAAATGTGTCAATCTAAAATTTGATTTATTGCTTACACGTTGACAGTTCGATATTCGTACAAATTGCATCTATCTATTTATTTTTTTAAAACATGTTGAATAGAGCATTCTTATAATCAAGCGTCTTATCTATATTTACTTTTCGAATGGTCATTTTTAAAAAACACGAAAGATGATTTTTGAAGATATCCAATCGATACCAGTTATTATTACTGTTGTTGAACTGCTAGATTTTAGCCGAGACGGTGAGCACGATATTTTAAGCTGAAATGGTGCAAGTCTCTAGATATTTTGCTCATAGATGGCACAAAGGTTCTATTAGCGAAATCTCGTTGGGCTTTATTTTTCTAGCTTAATATTGAGTTAGGCCATTATAAACATAGCGTTTTTTTAATGCATACAATTTTGCGTTTTTTTAAATATATTTAACGATTAAATGGCGTTATTATATTGTGCAATAATTTTAAACTAGGTGAAATATAATTATTCAGATAAAGTATTAGATTGCATCACATCTTGTTGAATTTACTGAACACCTTTTTTTTCCTGTAATTTTTAATCGAAGGGTTTTATTAAATTAATTTTAGGGATTATTATTTGATCCAAATAATATTGATTTATATTTCTGTTATTAAATTAATAAGGTATTCTATTCAATGAATTTGAACGAAATTATGATAATAGAATTATTTGATAAACCATCCATCATTATTTTTAAAAATGAATAGTTAACATATATGGATTGCATTTATCCCAGAATATCTTAGATCAATTACAAACCTCAGCTAATATGACAGATATGTTGTTATTGAAATATATATTACAATTTTTATAGAAATTTTATACAATTTACCTATATTTATTGAAATATTATATTTTAAAAAAAATTACATTTTGAAAATTCATTGCCTACTTTTTTATGTCATTACATATTTTAATATGTATATTATTTTAATATAAACTTATCTGGTGAATAATATTTTACTAAAAAGTGGTCTATTTTAAGAATAAAACCTTGTCTTTCTCTTAGATTATTTATCCCCCTCTTAAACATTCATTTCGCTTTTTTATTTAAAATAAAATTTGTTCCTGTAAGTACTTTATGTTTTTTTAACATTTTAATAAATAAATAATATTAGTAGTGTTGTTAAGAAGTCTGATTTGAATAGATTTTTTAAAATCCTCCCGATTAAGATTTTAGCCAATATGCAAGCCTCGATATTTGGCAAATAGACGCCAAAACCTTTCTGTCATTCTGTCATCTATGAGAGAAATCTCCAGGTTTGCATAATATTATTTCGGATAAAATCTTAATCGACCCAAATCTTTAATAATTGGCGCGAATCTAACCGTTTAACAACACTAGCGGTTATTAATCACTTGTAGATTGTTTTTCTATTTGCCTGGAATGATTGAGAAAAAAGAGCCTTCCTAAGCCTTGAGATTTCCCGTTTATTTGGCGAAATCTCGAAGCGTTAAAATATCGGCTAAATCTTTTTTAAACAACGCTACGGTATGCTGTTTCTTTTTTAACCACTTCTAGTTTTCCCAATTTCTTTTAAAGCAAAATAGTTATATATTTTTTTTATATGTATATATTCCCACTCTTTTCAGATATCGTCAGTTGCCGAAATGGATGACACGCTGAATAAAATACGGGAGATATTGTCCACCGACAAGACCGAATGGAACAAGAGAAACGAGGAGGTTTGTAAAGCTAACTGGCTTTTATTTACTAAAGAACCTATTAAAAAAATTAAGTTTCTTTTTCATAGTTTAATGGCGGTTTTTTAGGTTTACCCGCGGGTGAGCAGCCAGTTTTCCCTCTGATCCCCTTCTTTCCATACTTTTTTTACAGTCCTGGGCACCCTTATTTGTGAGATCCATTATTCTCATGTCATCCGTTATCACTTTCACCCACGTCTACGTAGATTTGTATTTAATGACCCAAGGACGAAAGCGTGTTTTGCCAGTAAAATTAATTTGTGTGATAAGAGTTAGCAATTCTATTACAATATCATCAACTTTGCTGAAATTTTATACTTTATCATTATTAAAACTGCTTAATTGCAACTTCTACCCACGGACAGTTTGCTCCTATCATCTTCAGTTTTTTTTAACAACCACTTGAACCTAGGGAATCCTATTCCCTTAGGCAGCATATACTATCGAATATTTTAAAATTATTGTTCCTTTTTAGGAATACAATTATATATTTCTTAAAATTTTTGTAAATTTTTATTTATAGTAGTTTTATACAGCATATACTTCTTGTATATTAGAAACAAATATACGAAACATAAAAATAGTTATTTTTAAAATACATACAGTTTAATTTGTCTAATTTGGGCCATTATTAATTCGGGCAACTCCATATTTGACCAAAATTTTGAATCCCATTCAAATTAGCTACTATTATATTAGAAAATGCCTTGAAAAATTGGCCAACTGTCTAAGTTGGGACAAAATCAGTCCCAGTGAACTAAAAAATAGACTTATCTATATATATATTTTTCAAATATCTTTTTACTACAAAGATGAGAAAAATTAGATCGGTAGTTCTTAGCGGCAACGTAAGGGATTATCCGGAGTTCCTTAACCACCTGAGACAATTGGAGCCGGCGTTTCAATTGGCGCTCAAAGATCTCAGGTCCCAAGTCGTTCGGGAGGTGTGTATCACTATCGGGTAAAACGGCATAATTAAATTACTTATATTGGGGTATTAGGGCTTGGTTATCTCCAAGACCTAAACCCTCGTTGGTTGGGCATTCACTTGTGTTTTTTTCCGGTAATGTGTATATTTTACAACTTTAAATCATTTTTTGAGCGCGTTTTTTCAAAATTTCAAAATCTAATTTTACCGGGAATATATTCCATCATGTTTGGAATACCTATCCTACGAATTGTATTTGCTGTTAACCTTAGAGTCATTTAGAATCAATATAAAAAATAAATTGGGAAATTCAATATAAATTATATTAAGTTTAAAAGTTCATGGAAAAATTATCTGAAATCCATAGGGTAGGTATTCCAAACATGGCTGCATACATTTTTTCGGAAAAATCAGATTTTGAAATTTTTAAAAACGCACTCACAAAAGTTGAAAAAATAACACATCGACGCTAAAATATAGATAAATGGTTGGATAAACAATATTCCCTGACCCAATAAAAATAACTTTTCAATGTTTGGCTTTGAGATAATTTTCGAAACGGAGAAAATTATTCCTGAACAAATATACCCTAAATTTAGAAGAAATTTAAAATGCTTTTAGAAAACTTTTGTAATAAAAAAAAATATGGATATGGTTTGGGTTTAAGAAAGTAATAGTGTATAAGACCCTGATTCGGGCTGGAGAGTTTTAGAAGTCTAGAGTACCCTGCATTCATAGTTGGCACGAATACGTTGTGACCTACGTCTTGATATGGGAATAGACAGATTAATAAACGACTACCACACACTCATTTATTATTCCAATTGGTATAACTCCAATGGAACACAACACGAATAATAATCAATAACTGTACACAAGATGATTTGTTTGATCAACGAAATACAATTCAATATAACATAAACATCACGTGAACAATCTGCGAATTATATAGTCAGACAAAACAACTCATGTACACCTCTCCTCCCCACAGATATAATATTTTCCATGAATGACATGTATCCCTTTGACAAATGACATTTATACATATCTCGAAAAGGTACACCGCGAATTTTGGCTAACTGTGAACAGGGTTTGATCAATTATTTCTAAGAGTGAGGCCAGGGTTAAGTCCCTGATTTGATTTGAGCGATATAGGTATAAATTACTTATTTATTTTTTTTAACACGCAGGAAATATTCCGTTAATATTTTTACTTGTAACTTCTAACTTGAAAGTAAAAATCTAGGGAAAATATGTTATACATCTTTTAACCATTTTTCCCTTAAAATTTTTTTATCAACATCAACCATCTCCATTTAACCAAGATCCCAGTAGGAATGCTGTTCGATCTTGGATTGTCGGTCCGACTTATGCCTCTATTTACCCATTCCATTTATTCCACAAAATTTGCTTTATTTAGGGAGTTTAAGATACCCTCTACCCTAATTGCGTTTTGAAAATTTGTTATGGCATTTTAATATTATTATAATCATTTTCCTAAAGATTTTTGGCCCAAACGTTCGGTATACGATTCGAGCACACTGCCGAATTTTTGCTGCCCAACCTGATATGCCTCATGCCAAACAGCGTCAAAATTATGTCAACATCCGTCATGGTCGCCATGAAATTTATCTTGAAAGTGAGTGGGATACATTACATTAAAAATTTTACATTTTCTCAAGTAAAACAAAAAAAAATGCACATGACTGTGGCGCATTAGTATAATAAGTCACAATTTTATGATTGACACGTGTCTATCCGTATTACCGAAATAACTAAGAAAATAGGGGGGAGAAGCTGATTAGTAGAATATTTCATAGTTTTATTATCTTTCTAAAGAAATCGATATCTATTTTAATAGCACGTACACTCTAACAAGCTGATACCGGTATTAGTCCAAAACATGTCCTCTAAGAACCGCGAAATTAGAAAGTAACTAAAATTTTTTTACAGTTACAAATTAGGCATTTTTTTAAAACATTTTTTGATTATCAATAAAAAAAAACACCGTCAATTTTTTTTATATAACACTAATCAATCAAAGCCATTTTCTAAACATTAGATAAGTCCAAACTCAAAATATAATAATAAAAAGGTTTATCTATTTTAGTATTGCCTGCCCACTAGACATATAATGTAATTGTGTAAAAAACCTTTTAAGTTTTTTATAATTTTGCACAATTGTTAACTTATAAATGAGTCACCCCTGTCGTTTAGCACTAAGGAAGACTTAATGGCATCTAGTATTTTACCCTTGCAAAGTATCATCCCAATTTTGATTAGAAACATATTTAAATAGGTAAAGAAGCTTAAAAAATAAAATTGCTATATGGGACAGGTTTAGGGTTAACCATAACTTATGTATTTTATTTTCGCATTAAAAATAAAGAAATTTATGTGATTTTTTGGCCCACATTCTCCACACCTGGGATACTTCCGTGCTAGAAAAACACTCGGGAATTATTCAGGAAGCTATCAAGAAAGGTCTTCAGGACGCCGACTCCGACGCCAGAGCTTCATCTAGAAAGTTATATTTTTTTTACTTAAAAATATAACAATTTATATTATTGAACATCAAGGAAGACCATTTTTTTTTCAGATTAGTAGAAATTAAATGTATACCATTAGAAAAAAGTTTCTATACTACATTTTGGTTTTTATCACAATTTAAGATACATCTTCTTCTCTCTTTAATGGCTATCCACGTTTACCCAGGTTGGCCAGTTTTCCTTCTGATTCAATCAATATAAAATTTTGTAGTTCCCTTTCTGACATCAACCCCTTTTTAGGTTGTTTTTTTCCAACCGGTCGAGGAAACGGTGATCCTATTCTGGACCCAGACCACAGGGAACCATTTAAGATGCATATTTTTGATATATTAAACCAATTAAAATGAAACAAAGGAAATGCATTATTCTATTCTAATGACCATATTATTCGCTTTATTTCTTTGAATTTACCAAACTAAGCCCAAGCAATAATATCAATAATCTATCTTTAAACAAAAGAGCATACTGGGGCTTCGCCGATCATTTCAAGGAACAAGCCGAAATACTCATCCAATCCCTCGATTCCGGCAAGCAAAAAATGCTGAGAGGCGAAATTTCCAACTCTTCCAGCAATAATTCCTTGTACAGATCCAATCTACCACACCATCCAAGGATGAATACGCAAAATACCGATAGGTATATATATATATTTATATAATCATTTTTTGGGTGTATTCCATAAATAACCTCGCTTGAATCATTTCCTCACTTATTATTTTTTTAAAAAAATCTTGAATCTTTTATTCACGAATAAATATTATCTACAAACCCACAATTTCCTTTATGAATTTTTTATCGAAAGATATATTTTTTTTTTAGCTTAGAAGGAAATAAAGAAAAGAAAATAATATTTAAACAAAGGAAGAAATATATTAAAATTCGAAGACCGTGGGTTCGGGAATATTTAATTATCATTTGCGGGAATTTTGTCAACACTAACTTGCTTCATTTTTATAAATACTTGGTTGTCCAAAAAATCGGTACCCATTTGGTCCATGCTCCTTAAATGTCTAGGAACCCCGAATCGATTTGATTACATTATCTAGGCAATTCACTTATTACATTTCACGAAATAAAATAAAACTAGCTCTAATATGCTAAGCACCATAAAAAAACGCGAAGTGGCCGCTATACGCAAAAATACTATGTCGCTCGAGGATATAGCGTAAAAATTTTATCCAATATTATTAATTTCTTTTATAAAAACTCGATTCAAATATTCCTATTTTTTTAAAAAAACACAATTTCCAATGCCTAGCCGAAAGTATCCGCCCTTGAAATCGAATTCCAAACTGCCCCATAAACCCAGTCTCATGACCCATTACCCGTCTGCCTCGTACGCTACGCACTTTCCATCTAGCAATCCGCCCTACAAACCCCCGGTTAGTTCCGTCTCTTCCACGTCCTCCATTATTAACACGCGTTCTAACAGCGCTATAGACCACCAGGCCGCTCTCAGAGCTAGGAAAAGGAATATGAACGGTGCCGCGGCATTTGGAGTCAATGGGGGAAATAGCAAGATTAGATACCACGATTATCCTTTAAGTATATAAACCTACATTTCTCGAATTATTTTTTTACGGTGAATGGTTTAACAAAATATTCACTTTCAGATATTTTTTTTATTTCCCGCCAAACATATTCTTTTATCTTAAAGCGCGCAAGTTAATTTATTTTTCTGCTTTCTCCAAAGTTGAGCTAAATTAATTCCAGAAACTTGATTTTCCCGAATACATATTCGTACATATAGAGTACCTACTACCCTTTTACGAATATTCAGATAATTTTACCATGAATGTTTGCATATAATAAAATTTGTATTGAAAAATAATAGTTAATTTAAAAGTTCGCGGCAAAATTTTCTGAAATAGAGGAAGTAGGTGGGTTCTAGAAATGTACCAATCCAATCCCTAGATTTTGTTATGGATCTGTCAGGTTCTTTTTAAAATAGCCAGTTCTTAACCAGTTACTTATATATATATATTAATATGTTATCGTCAATGCCTTTTTTCCGGCAATGTGCTAACTTTAAATTATTTATTGAGCGTGTTTTTTTTTTAAATTTAAAAATCTGATTTTACCGGATATTCAATCATGTTTGGAATACCTATCTTATGAATTGTAGAGAATATTGTCGTTAACCTTTGAATAATTTATAATCTATATAAAAAATATACGGGAAATCTAATATAAATTATATTAAGTTTAATGGTTCATGGGAAAATTATCTGAAATTCATAGGGTAGGTACTCCAAACATGGCGGAATACATTTCCAGTAAAATGAGATTTTTAAAATTTTTTAAAACCGCGCTCAAAAAATGATTAAAAGTATAAAAAATAACACAGTGCTGGAAAAAAGCACACTGACGTTATTGGATTTAGTTTTAAAAAAATTGAACATTTATGAATCAAAAAATAATTTTTTTTTTAAATACGTGAAATTAATAAACAAATTTGTTGTATACAACGTTAGAAAAAACTATATGATAAAAAATATAGAATTACTGTCGAATAACTATATTATATATTCTTACTGTTAAAAATATATACACTAATAATAAAGAAAGAAAGAAAGTTAGATTAGATAGATAGATAGATAGATAGATAGATAGATACATATTAAGAGAGTTATAATTTTTTTATGAGAATCGTTACATATTCCCAACGGGTAATTAATTGGGGTCCGTAAAAGTGAGAAAAGAATTGAATCAGGTACATCACTAGTAGATACTCGTACATGGTGGGGAATAAGATTTAGGCAAAATGAGATCTTTCAAATTTATAAAAATAAATTATTGTTTTACTTTCCACAAATAAACAGCGAAGTTAACCCAAATTTCGAGCCGGCCTAGGATTTGTCCTCCTAACTTCCGGTTAAATCAACCCCACAATTATCAAAATCCACCAACGACCGCGAGAGTCCCGACAAATTCTAAGTCCGTATCTTCCATGTCTCAACGTAAATAAATTAATATTTTTGCCTACCATTAGGGACCCGTGAAATCCAATTTTTTGGCCCGATTCCCAATTTTTAGGTCTATGCCCGTTGGCGCACGCGACCCGAATTTTTTTAAAAAAAGAAGCTTACAGGAAAGAAATTCTCAAACTCAAATTTATTTTGATTCTTTCTATTAAAATTTAAGGGTTTTTTTAAATTATCTATCTTATTTTATTCTATATCGTCAGCTGAGTATTATAGTGTTCTATGTCTATTTTTGCAGGAGAGCATGTTACATAAAAATGTATCTTGCATCTTTAATTAGTAGATCACAATGTGATAATACGAATATAGGATTATTCTAAATTTTATTTTAATTGCTGATATTAAGGTAAAAACTACATAACTTTTCTATAACCGATTGATGGGGGGGGGGGGTTCTTAATTAATTTATCTATTACAGATCAACCAATGTTGCGAACGACCATTTCAAAAGAATGAAACTTGGCATTAGTTATTTGCGTTTAAAATTTTAAGGTCTTCAAAGTATAAAATTGAGCAAAGCGTGATTTGATTAAATTATATTTTTTAAAAAAAAATAATACCTAAGATAGAGTTACATATTATATATCATTTTATAGCCCTTAAAATTATACATTGCAAAATATCGGAATTTTTTTGGGGTGTATAGGCCAGGATTGTTTATTACCCTTTTTAACTGTTTTATCAAAAAAGGGGTTTTTTTTAAATTTTATTTAAATATTTATTATTTCAAAAATATGCTATAGATGGTATTATTTAAAATCATCATAATATAATATATTTAATAAAAAAAAATATGTATTGTATTGGTATTAAAATAATAATGAAAAAAATCCATTCAGTATAACCAGTATGGTGTCCAAAGTAATATGTAAGCAAGCGCCCATAAAGATGTGATTATTAGCAGAGTTGGGCAAGTCCTCCAGAAGAGTCTAGATACAGATTCTTTATAAAAAAATGAATCATAGATACAGATACTAGTGTCTTTTTCAAAATATCAAAAAGATACAAGATAAAAGATATTTGTATCTTTTACTAAATTATAGTATCTTAAATACAAGATACTTTTAAATTATCATTACCAATTAAATTAGAATAGTTTATAAAATAGTTTTTATTATTTATTTGTGAAGAACATAGCATACACATATAAGAATGAATATTTGCAATAATTAATAAAATATTTATTAATAAATTAAATATAATAACCAGGGATTCTAATATTAGTTTTTGCCCATTAATAGCTTAAACAGGAAATGGAGAGTAGTATATTTAATGGGAGTTAAAAATTTGCAAATAAGAAAAAAAAATTAAATCAAATGATTTATTAGAATTTGCAGGTTATTTTCTGTGTTGTTTTAAATATAGCATATATTCGGAGTATATGGCTAAATGGTATCTCTAAAAAAAATATACTAGTTTTATTTTATTCATTATCTTTAATATATCATTACTTGTTGTGATATTTATGTATTTTTTAAAATAGTTTATTTTCTAATATGACTTATTAATTCTTGCGTTTGTAATATCATATATATAAATATCATTTAAATCTCTTTTCAATTTTTTTTTATATATTTCTTGCAAAATAATTAATTATATATAAAAAATATCATAATGTACAACTTTATATTATAATTATTAAAAAGAAATTTCGATTTTATTTATAAAAATAGATGATTTTATATATAACTTTTTTAAAAAATTTTATGACATTTTATTTTTGTTATAAAGAAGCCATTTTATATCGGATCAAATTTTATAATATTGGCCGATAACCGATATTTTAAAATCGGTGAAATTGTTCCGATCCTATCCGATAAAAAATATCGGCACATCCCTAATATATTTTACATATAATTATTTTAGCAAGTTCTTATTAGAGGAAATATTTAAGCTACAATTGATATATAATATTAGATAATTTTAAAAGGCTCTTAATAAAATAATTTTAATAAAGTAGAATTTAACTTTATTAGTTACTTTTATTTATTTATAATATAAGTAAAATTACATTACGGTATTTATTTACAAAATTTAATCAATTTAAAATGCATTAAAGAAAATTGTTATGTTTAATGATTAATTAATAAACATTCTGCCATATTTTTACTTTTTTTGCGCATTCTGTTAAAAAAAGTGTGCGAGATTCTTATCAGAATCTGTTTTTGGTGAAGCTGGTGATATTGACAGTTATTAACGCCGCAAGCTGACCTCTGATAAATTGGTGGTATTTCTAAAAAGAAATCTTCTATATATTAATGTTAAATATTTATTTCAAATTTCATAATAAAATTGTTTATTATTTATTAATTATGTTGTTATTACTTATTATATGAAGGTGATTTAATAATAAAAATATTTTATATACTTTTAGAATTGCAATTGAATTGAATATAAACAATAACTGATCATTATAATATATTTAAATGACATAAGTTATGGTATAGTTATATTATAGATGTTATACTAATAAGTAGTATATTAAAAATTAAAACCATTGGTATCTTTACAGGATACAAAATTAGATATGATAACAGATCGGTAATCGGCCGATATCAATTTAATATCGGGAATATCGGATCGGCCTCCAAAAAATTGGTATCGATACACCCCAAAAAATATATATCCAAGCTTTTAATTTGATAATCAACCATCTTCTATAAAAAAATTTAATAACAATTATCGAAGAGGGACTTATAGGTATTATTATGTTAATAATTATAAAATAAAATGGATAATATACTTTAAATTATAATAACTTTTTTACTTGTGCTATTTTGACATTCAGCTTTTACCTTGTTCTTTTTCACATAAATTACTTTATAAAATGTTCCATCTAGAATTTTAAGATTCGGATTTGATTCAGGCGAACCTATCTCCATAATTTCATCTTCACTACTATGATTGCTAAACATTCTACAAATTAAAAAATATTACTTATAAAATATATCCTTCTCTTATTTAGTTTTGGTGTTGTTTTTTTAATCTATCTATCTTTGTGACCTGTAAAATTTCCAACTAATATTGGTTATCAATATATTTAAAATATAGGGGGAAAAAATAAAGAAAATAATACAAGATTTCACGAAGAAAATAAAGTTACATTGTGTGATATGTAAATGTTTCAAACATAAATATTAAAAAGATCTGTATCTTTTTAAAGAAAATGATACAAGATTATTTTCAAAATAAAGGATCTTAGATACAGATACTAGTATCTTATTAAAAATCTCAATAAGATACTGAGCAAAAGAATCTTGTATCTTAGATACAAGTATTCGCGTTACTGCACTCTGATTATTAGGATGCTATATGTTGATATAAACATATTTTTAAATCATTTATACAAACTATTATTAAAAAAATATACCTATTATCTTTATCGTATTCCATTTTTGCGCCTATTAATAGACCCGAGGCGATAATTTGTAAATGTGTCCTTTCGCTGTTATGGGAGCTATTATCGTTATTACTTGATTAATTGGATAAACTATTTTTTTTCATTTGTTGGGTAAAGAGAAGTATGGGGATGTAAAAAAAAAATATCTCCTCCGTTTAATATGAAGGTAATAAACATTCCTAGCTAATATCAACACCCCCTAAAAATTTTCTTCTCAGCGATGTTAATTTTACATTTTTACCGGATATAAGAAAACACTTGATATATGATATTTTTTTTAAAAAAATATTATTTTAAGGGCTCTAAAATGATATATAATTTGAAATTTTGCGATTTTTGATTTTCAAAAGTTATCTCTTTAGATCTGATTGAGTTATCGCTCAAAAATTTTGTTATAACTAAAATACACAACATGGATGACTCTCAGGCCAAGTTTCATTCTCGTTTTATGGAATGGCCCATTTCGATGCTAATCCATCCGTAGTAAATCGATCCTTATAAATTACATTTATTATTCTATCTCCGACGTATGAAGGATATTTAAGTAGTCTTACACCTGTAAGATTCCACTGGCCATATATTGTTATTAATGATTGTTGATTTTTAAGTACTCATTGAAAAACGCGGGTTTTCATTATCAAGGGTTTGATTTGAGTTGTTGGATACTAATTTTATTTTAGTGAATTTAATTTTGAATAACCAATCATAATATTAATTCAATCTTGAATATAACATGTACCCTTTATTTTTCTTCGAAAAGCTGGTAGCCGTTCGAATTCGCCGACCAATCGCCTCAATGCACATTCCGCCATTTACAATTACCGCGCCAATCTCAATAGCGCTCATCAAAATGCCAATAACCTGAATCAAGGCAACGGAGTCACGAAATACAATACGATGGGCAGGAGCAATCAATATCAACAGACAAGTTCTGCTGCTTTTAATATAGGTGTTATAAATATGATTTTATATCTTTTTGCGTTTTCGCGGAAAGGAAATAAAATAACGGAATAGAAATACCAGGGTTCTTCACCCGAATTTAGGTTCAGAAATTTAAAATTGTTTGTTTGGACATTTTGAGACCAAGACCAAACAGAGACCGATTTATGGGCATATGGACCCTGGGCGAGTTCGGACCTCCTTTAGAAAATGGGGTTTTGATTAAGTTCCAGTAATCAAAATTTCCGTTAAATAGAAATTACTCGATTTAGGTCCAGAATTCTGAAAAATACGCATTTACATTTAACGCTTCAAACGCGGCGTAAAAGAAGTGGACCAGCCCTTGAATCAACAAGAGATGTCAATAATAAAAATATAAACTTATTCTTGGAATTAAAATATTAATATACTTTTTTTTTGTTATTTTATTTATAACAGCCAAGCCTAGCATGAACAGACTCGTTAAACGTAAGCCGATTTATAATACGAATGAAATTTATCTTTTATTTGCCTAAATTTATCGAAAACTTGCAAGTCACATATTAATTTTGTTCATGAACTGATATTTGATAGTTAAAGTTAAAAAGTTCTCTTAATTGTCTAAAGATTTGTTTCTTTATTTTGTATCATTTGAGGTACCATTTTATCAATTATATAAGAATTTTTCAATTTTCGCGTATATCAAGACTAGCCTTACTTTGCTTAAACCTCTTCCTCTTTTTTTTTCGAGGATATCATGGATAACTTAAAGGGAGGGGAAATGATAAACCTAAGACAATACAAGGCACCTTCTTATATTATATCTGTAATTGAATGCTTGATAGCGATTGAGTTCAGAGAATTTTACTCAGTAACCATCATATGATCTAGAGGTTAGTTATTTCAGGAATTTTAAGCAATATTTGTTATACGGATGAAACTAACTTAGAACTAGCCTAAAATCGAGGGAGGATGTTTGAATCAATTAGGGAGAGAGGGGTGAAATAAATTGGGTTTAAATTTTATTTATAGAACATATGATCAAGGGAAATGAGATGACTCCTAAGTAATATAATTTGAAAATATATATAATATTGGGAGACTATAAGTCACGATTGGGATTTTTTCCGTTCATCATATCTGAGGGCCCATGAATGGGGAAATTTAAAAACCGCTACGCCTAGTGAAATTATACACCTACGTTCTCGGAGCAAAAAAATAAGAATGGAAACGCTTTGATTATTCGAAAATTTTAGATTCATTAATTTTTTTTAAAAAAAAACAATAAATCAAGATAATGCCACGAAAAATTTATTATCCAAATTCGGCAAAGATTTTGAAACGTCTTCGAATGTCTCAGAAACATCGTCGGTTTAAAAAAAAAATTAAAATTTTTAATATATTAATTATATTATTTTAATGACAATTATATTTTTTTAATCCAGCTAATAAGTGAATAAGTAGAAAACCATGAAAATGAATTTTTTCGAAAGCATTTTATTTGTATATAAAAAAAATTTGTAAAGTATTCTTTTAAAAGTATTTATTTTTAAATGATAGGGGAGACTGGGGTTAGGTAAACCCTGGGGCTTGGAAAACCACTTAATCTCATTTTAAAATTAAATAAACCAGAAGGTTAAAATTTTTATCCTAATATAGTTTTTTATTAGTTTACATATAGAGAAAAAAAAATCTTTTGAAATTAATTAATTATTAAATACTTTATTTAAGAAATAAAATTTTGATGAAATTATCAAGAGGTTTTTACGTGAACAGAATTTTAATTTTTATTAAAATATATAATCATTTATTTGTTAATTAAATTTTATAGCAAAGTTTAAACGCTCTTCTATAATTTGGGAAAGTTTTGTGAATTAATACTAATAATTATTTAGAATTATATTAAAATTTGATGAATTAATATATAATGAGGTATTTGAAAATCGTAGGATCACTAGCCAACAGGTAAATTATCTACATTATCTATCTTACTTTTAAGATATAATCACAATAATTTTATGTAATTTTTAAACAATATAATCAATTTTTATCAATTTAATAATAGAAATTATGTAAACGTTAAATGTAATCTGTAAATTCTTATTTTAAATTAATTAAATTATGATGAGTATTATTGTAATAATTTTATGTAATTTTTAAACAATAAAATCAAATTTTAGCAATATTTAATTAAAGATTATGTAAATAAAAATCTAAATGGTAATGGTAAAGAGATTATCATTTTTAAATAATATGTTATTAAATTTTAAATCATCTAATATTTTATTTGACATTTTTATTTTAGGTATTCCTAGATCAAACTTTATGAGATATTACAAAAGATATCAAGAAAGTGGTACACTTTCTAATTGGACAAAACAATAAACAGAGGATATTCACAGAAGAAGAGGAGGGAAATATAACTAAATATCTGATCCAAGCTCTGCACCCAGAAATTACAACTTCCTTATCGGTCTGTTCATGGGCCTCTCAAAAAAGTATTACAATTCATCCAGGAAAATTATTTACAATTTATGATATCCCCTGTTATTAAGGATGTCTTGCCTTTAGCAGCATCACCTCTCAATATGGCGAATGGTTTTAAAGCATGTGGAATATATCCACTTAATACAGATATATTCAAGAAAAAAAGAATTGCCTCAGTTTATGGGGATTCTATATGTGAACTTCTTAATATCCCAATAATAGAATCAAGCTTGGTCTCTTTGGTATTAAAAGATAAATAAATATTTTGGACATATAAAATATGTATCGAAGTTTGAACATATACCATGTGCCCATCTTTGGCACACAAATATTTTTGTGAATATTTTTTTTTCTTGCAAATATTTTCTTTCTCTATTAATTTCTTTTTATAAGTAATGATGTGAATATCTCGGTCCTGGGTCATTTCCACATCAAATGAGATTTTCGGCCGACCCCTTTCAATTTTTTTAAAATTTGGTAAGCAAAGAAAGGTCAATATAACTAAGAAATAGCCAAAATTTTAGCCTCCTAACATTTATATTTTTGAAGATATTAGGGTTCAAAGTGGCAAAAATGACGTATTTTTACCATTATCTGCCTTCATTCAATCAAGCATATCTTAAAAACTATATAATTATAAATAATCAATTTAATATCAAAATTACGTACAAAGATTCTACTTTTAGATAAAAAAAATTATTATTTTTTTACCAATTTCCGGCCATTTTATTTAATATATAAGGACTAAAAACAATTTTTGGGAAATAACGACCTTCAATTTTTAAAAAAAATTTAATAGACATTATTAAACTCTTCCTTTATATTTATATAAAAAAAATGGTTTGGGACGCGGCCATCTTCATTCAAATCGATAAAAATGTTTAGAAAAGTGTATAAATATTTTCCCGAAAGGTGGCGTTTTTGTATAAAATTATATATTAATCAGTTTTTAATGTATAATTTAAAGGATTATTCATCTTGTAGAAAATAACAATAAATGGGGCTTTCGTTCAATTATAGAAATTGTATATCGATAAAAGAAATTCAATTTATTACTTTATTTATAATTTATTATAAAAATTTGCCCATATAACATATATTTAATGAATATTAATAAAATTTATTTAACCAAGTTTATAGTTCTTGAATATATTAATCATTATCTTGTGCATTTCATGACGCCAAAAAATAATATTAAAATTTTCTCTACTCAATTTTTTAAAATAATTTGATATTTTTAAAATAATTTGATATTTTCAAATATTAATTTATTATTATGAAATTATTTACAAAATAAAAGTATTATCATAAAATTAACCCAAAACAATATAAATATTGGATCGGATTTTCTAAAATCGGCATAGCCTTACTAAATTAGAATAACAATAAATAATTGTTTCAATCAATAAAATAAATAAAAATTTTAAAATTGATTAATCATTCAATAATACATGCTCAATATTAATTCATATTTTAATTAATTATTGGTATTTTGATTTCTATCAACACCTCCTCAAGCCTGGAAAAACTAAACGAATATACAGTTAAAATTGTACAAGAATTATTGTATGGACGAAATAAGCAGAATCATGCCAGGCAAGAAAGATTGCGTTTCGATTTTGACCAAAGACGAAAAAAGAATACCATACATAAGAGATTAATTTTAGATAATTTCAAAGAAATTCATATATTTTTTAAAGAAATGAGGCCTGATGTTAAAATTGGTTTTTCGAAATTTGCAAGCATTCGCCCAAAAATTGTATACTCTTTGGAGGTAGTGGTACACATGTATGTGATTGCAGCTACCACCAAAATTTTAAATTAATGATCATTGGATCAAATTTACCCAATTTAACTAATGATATGTTGCCCTTTAAAACATACAAACATATTTTACACTTAATAATTTGTAATTCGCCACAACCATCCAGTTTATATGGGCAAATGTGATAATTGTCCAGGGTCAACACATTTACGCGATCAAATAGAAATATTGTTTCGTTAAGGATATCGAATTTATAACATACAAACAATGGCTATCCATAGATAGAACAACTCTTGAAACGATAACCAAACCAGTAGGTGAATTTATCAATGCCTTTTTTGAAAAAATGGAATCTTTATTACTCCATTTTTTTATTTCAACGCAACAATCGTTGTATCAAAACAATCAAAAATTGAACTTAGACGAAGACCAATATTTAATTTTATGTGATTTTTAAGAAAAATATAGCTTTATACTTCAGGATGAAGTACAAAATTATCATTGGAATAGGGCTCAATCCACTGCTCACCTTTTTGTTATATATTATAAAGATAATTTTGCCAATATTTGTCCTAAATTATGTAATGATTGCAATACAATACAATAGCAGTACATAATTTCAAAAAAACATTGGTAAATTTTTTAATTAATAAAATTTGTAGGCCAAATAAAATTTTTTATTTTTCCGATGATAAAAATCGTAAAATTTTTTATTAATATTTGCCATCATGAGATGGATTTCGGGGTACAGGCGAAATGACATTTTTCTGCTATAGCACACGGGAAAAGTGTTTGTGATGAGATTGGTGGCACTGTTAAAAGGTTAACCGCTAGAGCTAGTTTACAAGGCCTTAGTCAAAGTAACCACATCATATGAATTGTACGAGTTAAATAAAGAAAATATTAATGTCATATATTTTGAATAGATGACCAAAATAAATTATGAATACGAAGATCTATTACTCAGGGAAATATTTTCAAAAACTAGATCTATACCTGGAACACACAAAATACACACCTTGATTCCAACAGATCTACATCAATTTAAAAGTAAAATGTATTCCAATTCAATAGAAAGTACTATAGAATAGTTATCATATAATGATGAAAGTATAATTATTGAAGAAATATCAGTATACCTAACGTATCCTTATGATTCTAATTGGTGGTTAGCTTTGTTTTAGTGAAAAAATAAAAGCAGGAAGAAATATATATATAAAGTTTTTAACCCACCCGGACCTTCTAATTCCTTTACATTTCCAAGTATAGACGACACTCTTTACTTTCCCAATTGTCATATCTTAACATTAGTTTCACTGTTAACTGCTACTAGCCGTAGTTATACATTGTTGTCACAAGAAAGTAAATGCGCTACCGAAAAATTAGAATCTTTTAAAACTGAGTTGTTTATTAGATTTTTAAATTTAAATTATATCAATTTTTTAATATTTAGGGCGCCATATATGAAATGCACAAGATTCTGATTCATATATTCAGGAACTCGAAACTTAATTGAACATATTTTATTTATATTCATTAAATGTATGTTATATGGGCAAAAAATTTTATAATAAATTATAAATTAAGTAATAAATTGAATTTCTTTTATCGATAGACAATTTCTATAATTGAATGAAAGCTCCATTTATTGTTATTTTCACTTACAAGATGAATAATCCTTTAAATTTTATCAAATAGTCCAAGAAAAACCATTAAAAACTAATTAATATATAATTTTATACAAAGACGCCCCCTTTCGGGACAATATTTATACACTTTTCTAAACATTTTTATCGATTTTGAGAATGAAGATGGCCGCGTCCCAAACCAATTTTTTTATATAAATATAAAGGAAGAGTTTAATAATGTCTACTAAATTTTTTAAAAAAATTGAAGGTCGTATTATTTCCAAAAAATTGTTTTTAGTCGGATTTTCGTTATTGGTGACGTGACCATTTATTCATAATTATATTTATCAGAATACTTCATATTTCTCCATTCTTTGTTCTTCCCAGCTGGTACAAAGATTCTACTTTTAGATAAAAAAAATTTTAATTTTTTTTCCAATTTCCGATCATTTTATTTAATAATTTCGATATTAAATTTGTTATTTACAATTATGTAGTTTTTAAGATATGCTTAATTGAATGAAGGGAGATAATGGTAAAAATAAGTCATTTTTTCCACTTTGAACCCTAATATCTCCAAAAATATAAATGATACGAGGCTAAAATTTTGGCTATTTCTTAACTACACTAACCTTTCTTTGCTTACCAATTAAAAATTCGAAGAGGGTCGGCCGAATCATGGTTGATTTGTCATGAAATGACTCTCCTTCTTTTCACTCTCTTAACTCTTACTTTTTTTGGGATGAGGCGAGGATATTGTTAAATTGCTGGATGGACCAGAAATATTATCTAAATGAACATAAGAGGATAATGGAGCATCATTACATATATCGAAGGTTCTATTAATATTTCAAATATCTTTTAATACCAAAGGGGCCGAGATTTTGGATGTTTACATATAGAATCGCCATGAACTGAGACAATTCTTCTTACCTGAATATATTTGTATTCAGTGGATATAATCCACATGCTTTTAAACCATTTGCTATATTGAGAGGTGATGGTGCTAAAGGCAAGACATCCTTAATAACAGAGGCATAAATTGTAAATAATTTTCCTGGATTACTAATCATCCAGGAATGAAGTGCATTATTATAATATTTTTTGAGAGGTCATGAACAACAGACCGATCAAGAGGCTGTAATTTATGGGTGCAGTAAGGAGGCAAAGATATTAGAATTATCCCCGTATCTATACAAAATTTGACATCTTAACAGGAATTATGTGATATATGATTGTCAAGGATTAATAAAACTTTGGACACAGGAATATACCTAGTGTGTTTAGAAAAATGTTTCAAAAAAATAATAAAATCCTCATCTTGCATCCATTCTTGAACCATTTGAGAGCCAGGTGGACCATCTCTAACCAAATAGTCATAATATTTTTTTCCGCGAAAAAGAAACATTGGAGGAATTGTATGGCTAATTGCATTTTCCGATAATGTTATTAAGGTACCTTATTCTTCGGAAGTCATGTATCTTACCTGTTTTTGACACTTTTATCAATTATTTTGGATGGGGTTTGAACTGTGGTAAGTCCAGTTTCATCCATGTTGTAAATTGCCATGCATTCTAATTTATGTTCATCTAATATTCCTACATATTAATTGTAAAACATTTACTTAAATCGTTTAATAAACTTTTATATAAAATTAAAAAGTATAGTTTCTTCATTAAATCCAATTGCCCTAGCCATATAAGTAGCCTCAGGGGACCTTAAGGATAAAGTAGGATTCTTTAACTAAAACCTAAGTACCAGTCATGGCCAGCCATTGAATTGTCCTTTCAAGATTTAGGAAATTTCTTCTTCATATTTACCACCATGTGTTGGCTAATATTTTTATCTAAAAAACAATATAAAATAATGATGAATAAATTTATACCTTTTTAATTTAGGTGCCATAAAAAATTTGGCTAGCTTGGATCAGATATTTAGTTATATTCCACTCTTCTTTTTATGTGAATATCCTCTGTTTATTTGTCCTACACTAGTAAGTATGTCACTTTCTTGATATCTCTTGCAATATCTCATAAAAATGATTATCTCTTTATTATTATCATTTAGATTTTTATTTAGTGGCTCTTCTGGATTTATGTATGATTTTCAAATGTACCAGGGAAAGTCTACTAATACTATAAAATCATATTTAGGTATAAGTGGAGATATCGTACTTCGCCTGTCTGAAATAATACCATCAAATAAAAACCATAAATTATATATGGATAATTACCAATTATTTATGATTCTTAAAAAAAGGGATATTTGGTGTCCGGAACGGTAAGGTCTAACCGATTATCAGGATGCGCACTTAAAAACGATAAGGCTTTAAAAAAGGAAGGAAGAGGCGCTGTAGATTATAAAAGTAAAAAAAACGGTATTATTATCTGCAAATGGCAGGACAACAAAGCTGTTATTACAATATCTAATTTTTTAGGTGTTTTACCTACGACCATAATTAAACGATGGTCTGTATCGGACAAATCCTTTATAAATGTAGAAATGCCCGCTATAATTAAAAACTATAATGAGGGAATGGGTGGAGTAGATCTTCACGATATGCTGGTCGAGTTATATAGGACAGATATTAAATGGAAAAGATATTATATGCGAATGGTTTTCCATTTATTGGATTCTTGTGACGCCATATGAAAGCAAATAATATCAAATTTATGACATTATTGGTATTTAAATCTCAAACAGCAAAAGGGCTGATGCTAGCAGGAAAGGATAATAACAAGAAGACTGGAAGACCTTCCAGTATAGTTGTAAAGAGAAGAAATGCCATAAATATTGTCCCCATATCGGATATAAGATATGACCAAGTAGGTCATTTCCCAAAGCCCATAACAATTAAACAAAGGTGCAAGTATTGCGTAGATGCATATTCAAGAATTATGTGTCAAAAGTGTAATATTTATTTATAATAATAACGAAATTGTTATTTGTCATTTCATATGAAATAAAATATTTTTTTAAATGAACTTGCATTTTGCCCATTGATGACATTTAGAATCATTGAAAAATACTCGAAATAAGTTTTTTTGATAAAAATGTGTTATTTGTGTCTATAATAAGTATCTCTTAAAAAAAAACAAAATTTTTCATCGAAGGAAAAAAAGTCGGGCGCGAAAGGGTTAATTTTGTTGGATTTGTATTTTCTCACCATATCGAATAAATGTAATAATTACTAAAAAAAATTCATTCAAATGGATTGACATGTATGGTTTAGCAAGCCCCGCTAGCTCTAAATTTACTAATCATGATTGAAATATTATATAGACATGATAAATATTCCTTCCCCAAATTATATAAGAGTAAACTTTGCTATGAAATTTAATTTTCATATAAATGATTATATATTTTAAAAAAATTAAAATTCTGTCTTTAAAAAAACCTCTTGAAAAAAATTTTTATTTCTTAAATAAAGTTAATAATTAATTTCAAAAGATTATTTATTAGTCTATGGATGTAAACTAATAAAAACTCCATTAGGATAAAATTTTAACCTTCTGGTATATTTATTTTTAAAATGAGATTAAGTGTCTTGCCAAGCCCCGGGGTTTACCTAACCCCAGTCTCCCCTAATTGTAACTTGACTAAATTAATACGTTAAGTTGTAATTTAGATAATCATTTTTATTTTTTTAAGCATTATATCAATTTGTTCTTTAACTATAATATTAAAAATATTAAAATGGAATTTATAAAATATATTAAATGAATTTTTTATGTAGTTAGTAAAGGGATGAATATGGCATGGAACCGTGAATAGATATTGGATCTGCATATCTCTAGAGATATTTTTTGATTGAGGTGTAAATTTTCCTTGGGTCTCCACTGGTTGTTAGGTTCCATGCCAGGCAATATTAACTCTCTGCTAATTAAATTTTTTATTATTTAGCATTAAATAATTGGTATATACAGTAATAAAATATTTGTTCTTAAATAATTTAAGTAATAGTCTTAAGAGAACTTAATTATTTTTGAAATATCATAATATAAATATAAAATTGGCAACAAATTGTGAATAGGATGGAATGTTAGGAATTATTATCATTTTTATTCTTTAAATTGCAATTTAATTATATATTTATGGATAAAAATTTACATTTTTTTTAACATTTATTGTTTTAAAGAAAATTGGTAGGATAATCTCGACTCCTTATCCAAAGAACAATGCCAATCAACACAACGATTCAATTTATGTAAAGAAATAAAATAAAGACATCAAATTATGTCCCGCCAATTTTTTAAATAAGAAATATGCAAGCGTAAAAATCATTTGATAGGTATTTCAATTGTTTGGCAAGTTGGTAATTAATTTTTCAAGTTTTTGACTTGGACAGTCTTTATTTAAGATGAGAGGACATTCTAAAATAAATTTTGGCACGTTATTAATTTTCAAGGTTTTGTTAGATTTTTCGGAAGTTTTTACATTTAAGATAATAGGAACGGTTTGACTAAATTGCTAATTATTTAGGTAAACTGCAAATGCAACGGGTAAAATTTTATTTAAAAAAAAATTTCTAGCCAGATATAGGGTTGAGGTTATAGTATAAATTTTTATAAAGTTGGTCGCGGTTTAGCAATTTGTATCCCATTAAGCTGAATATATCTAAGAAACCATTAATGTTTTTATAGGAATCGTTCCAAACGTTTAAAATCTAATTGTTTTTTTTTGGCATTGTCACAGGATGCTACGCCTGTCACTCAACAACAAGTCAGCCCGAGTCATCAAATTAGGTCGGAGGAAGAATTGAGCGATCACTCATCCAGTTTCTGTTCCGAAAGCTCCTTCCGGCAATTTCAAAACAAGTACTTTTTGGTTCACACCGCGGCTTCATCCTCCAATTCTGCTGCCAGGGACAATTTTAACGGTAACTGCATAAACAATGACCCTAATATCGGCGGTGCGATGGCGGGAGGAGTGCCCAATTTCTATGGCAATACCTTAGGAACTGATATGGTACATCAATATAAAATGCCATACTTTTTTTAAAAAAAAGATTTACCACACAATTACAAATGCTCGAACATTATGTTAATAAGGCGCTGAGATTTTTTGCCCATTTATAGAATTTAGGCGCGAATCGGATGCGCCATGATTATCCTACCATCTAGCTCATATTGCGATTTATCAACAATTAAAGATATTTGCCTAATTCAGGTTCTTCAAAACTCGGTCGCCTCGGCAAATCTAAATAAAATGAAAATCAAACGGTCCGGTTTAACCCGCACCACAATCCGAAAAATTGCCGATTGCGTCTATATCGAGTTTAGAAAGCAAATGGATAATTGTTTCGTCTGCCAAATCGATCCAGTCTGAACTGGTCTTAGTTGATTAAATTGCTGGCGCGATAAAATTTCTGCACGACATGTATTGTCATTTTTTTAAATTAAACCATCTCAAAAGATATATTCATAAAAAAATGACCACTTCTCTAATTTAGGGCCAAAATATTGGTCCCAGCAGCTGCATCTAAAATTTGGGCAAGTTTTAGCATACGATAATGGATTTTAGATGGAAGGTTAACTTTAAGGCCACAACCGCATATCAGTTTAACCGAAACCATTATTCGCGACCAATGTCAAAATAATTGTCTTTTAAGACCGACATGTAGAATAACGAGTTGTTTAATAATCATCAAACTTCCATTCACTAAGTTTAAAACTAAGTTAAGTAAAAGGTAGATCTAAATCCGGTTCGAATTTTAACCAAATAAAGACGTAGAAAAAAGATGATAATATATTTATTTTTTTATTAACTAATTATTAAAGGATTCCTCGGAAATATTAAGTTTGTTGTCCAGCACGAATTGGGCGGACAGGAAGGAAGGTTTGATCCACATTCTCAGATTTTTCAGATCGGGGAAGGAGTTGAAGTTAAACTTTATTTTATATATATTTTATAAACTTTTTTCGAAAAGAAATTATTTCCTCTCAAAATCCTCAAATTATGACAAAACAGATGAGAAAATACATATAGAAATTGACACAGTAATTCTGTCTACCGAGAAGGGTTTAACTCTATTAGCGACTTCTCTGTATCGGGTCCTGGTGGATCAAAAATGAAATGTTTTGAAATGTATATAACTCCAAAACGCGTCCATTGTTGTAAAAAATTAAATTTCATGTCTTATTAAATGGATATATGAAACCTAATATCCTTAAATTTTTTTTTTAGAATTTGACTCGAGTTGGTTTTTTTTTTCAAAAACGGGGCTAGATGGCACCATTGCATTATGCCTGAACGCCCCCTATTATTTTGCAAAATTTTTCCGTAAATCGTGAATGATAGCACAATTATAATGTTTGTCATCAAATAAATTTGATTTTTAAAAACATCCCGAAAAATAGTGAAAAGGATAATTTTGTTAGATTAAAAAATATTATATAAAAGGGAGATCTTATAACGATTAAAAATTATGTCAATAGGAGAAAAATTGGAAATGTGCCAAGTGAGATTCCTAAATTTCCCAAGGAACAGCTGGAATATTCCTGCGGTTCAACGAACTTCCCAAAGCGTCCTCGAAACACGGGATTTACATTCACAAAACAAGGCACATGATCTAAATCCATTTGCGTAAATGGGGAAAATTGAAGATTTTGGTTTATAAAAAAAAATAGGCTTCGAAAAAAAGAAACTTTTGAAAACCTTGAAAGAAAAATTCGCGAAGTATGGCTCATAATTTCGTAAGAAGAAAATAAAAACCAAAGTTGGCGTTCCATCAGTGAAAGACGAGATTGTCAGGTGTCAATTACACAAGAGGAAAAAAGAAGACCGGTCAAATATTATGTTCCATTAATTAAACATTTGAGGATATTAAGTTCCCATTATATTTTTTGATAAAATATGAAATTTCATTCTTTTCTTTTTTTAAAAAAAGACGCGTTTTTGAGATGTTATAGATTTCAAAACGTAGCATTTTTTGAGTCGCCCGGTATTTAATGTCGGAAAATTATTTTTAAAAAAATTAATAATATCGATATTCGGAGGGGGAGGGGTGGAGGATAGATGTTACTTCAGTGTTTGATTTATTTATTTTCTAATTTTATTTTGAAATTATAACCATATCACCCGTTTTTCTATTTATTTTGCATCATCGGACATTTTTATTTATTAAAGATTCGACATATTTTTCTAACTGGATGCGTCTTAACTCGTAGAATGTGATTTTAGATCCAAAAAATATATATTTGAATATGTCCAGTTTTTAAGGCTTGACCATATTTAAAACAGAGTTTTAACAACATTGGCAAAATCACAAATTAAAAGGGTTATATTAGCTGCTTTCCTGAATAGAATAGCTCTAATTGAGAATTAAGAAAAAAAGTTAAGAAGAGTTAAGAGGCATCATAGTTTGATTTGACAGTTTAACTTATTTGAATGACGTTAGAAGGTTTAAATTTTACCTGGGCAAGTATTATTCATTCAATAATTAATTATTTTTTTATATTATAAGATGCTAATTTATTTTACAAATAAAATAAAAATATCCCCACAGACCTAAGGAAATCAGACCAATCATGGAAAATTTTTCTAAAATGTTTATGGATCCTCATTCAAAAGTTAGCAAACCAAATAATGTATATGTATATATATATATTTTTTAAATCATTTGTTCAACTATTTTGCTCATGCTCATTACGTATTTGAAATTTTTAGAAATTTTTTGCCACTCATATACCACCTGACTCCTTAATCTTATCTTCCTCCAATTCTTGTTTCATAGATCTTTTCCTATCAAAAGTCTCATCCTTATGAAAGTAATCGTATTTTATTATTCCTTCTTCAAGGTATTCAGCATTTTTCTCGACGCTCTTATAGAGTTCATCAGTATCTACCACGAGGACCTACAAGACTGGCTCTACATCCTCATGACCAAATTGCTGACCAAGATGGGACAAGAGCTCTTATCATCCATCCAGACCAAATGCCAGAAATTATTAGACCTTATCACGTAATAATATTTGAAATCTATTTAGTATGTCTTCAAAGAACAATCGTTTCCTTCTGTACTCTGAATTATTATTAAGTATAGTGTTGTTAAACAGCTCTATTTGAGCCTATTTTTAAAAACGGCTAACTCAATATTTTAGCCTGAAAAATATTTCCTAAGCCTCGGGATTTCGCTAATAGATATCCAAACCTTTGTGGCATATATGAGCAAAATCTTCAGATTTACGTAGAATTTTTCTGGATAAAATTTTGAATTAGCCGTTTTTAAGAAATCTGCTCAAATCGAGAGAATTCTAACAACACTTACTTAGTATTTCTTAACAGCCACTAGACTTTTTAGCTACAGTTAGTATCTTGTAACATTTATTGCTTACTAAAAGTAACTGTTATAAATTTTTTTTTTAATTTGTACTAATATTATATTCCTTTTCCTTCTATTTTGTAAACCAAAAAAAAAACAGTTCCTCGTTTTCCTTCGCGCTACAATTCGAGTATTTGGGGAAGTTTTTGACGGACCAAACAATGACACCCAATTACAAAGTAAATCCTTTAGTAATAAATAAGTTTAAAAATTTGGGAAGAAGAGATAAGAGATAAAAGCGTAGATATATTTATGTTCCATACTTCCTCGTGTAAAAATTTCAAACTAAATCATGTTTTCGCCACAGGTCAAAATAGCCGTGCTAGGCTACGCCCTTTCTATAATTCCCTCCCTGACCCCCTTGGATTTCACGGTGGATTCGGATACTCAATGCAAAACCATGTCCAAAATCATAAGCCTAACGGGCGAACCTAAAAGCGTGGAGGTCAGGAAACTCTCCACTTGCATTCTGCTCGCCCTATTCGACCTCAACCCGGCCACCTTCACCATGAATCTCCATTCCATGCCGAAATCTCAACAGGTTCGGGCTTATTTTTTTTTTTTAATGTTTGGGTTGTTAGAATTCTTGCCATCCGTTTTTTCCCCAAATTTCGACACTTATTTTCGTTTAATTTGTTCGGGATAGACTCCGCGTTGATGCGCCACTTTCTTGAACCAATAGGGTTGGGAATAGACTCCGAGATGATTGATTAATTTTCTTCATTCCTTGATCGCCTTTAAAATGATCAAATTTTTTATTTTATTATTATCATTTTTGATTGACAAATTATTAGGACATATCCATGGAAATTCTCAGAAATCACGTCGGTCCCTCTCTCCTAAACCAAATTTCGCCGCATCCTTCCGAGACCTTTATGAATGGTGGGCAAGACCTCCCGCTTCAACGAAATTACGTATCGGAAAATTTCGCGATGTAATATTTATTTTATATAGTATATATATACGTATTGAAGATTATTTTACGGATGCTGTATATTTTAAAAGGAGTCTAAATGCGATGATCCTTTTCGATAAAAAAATTAATAAATAATAAAGCCCATCCTCCGAAGCCGCCTCCGTTGACGACCACAATTTTTCGGGCGAGAGTTTAACTTCTACGCTTCACGCCGAACCTTGTAATATGCGTACCCCGAATCTCATGAGTTTCGGAACACCTTACTCCGAAATGGAGAGAAGCGGTCCGGACACTGCCAAAAAGGGATTTAATTGGAGCTACGACGAGGAAAGGTTAGAGTAAATTTCTAAAATTAGATTAAGAGGGGGTGACCAAAAACTATTTATTGCCTCACGGCATAATCTGTTTTTTTTGTAACTCTTACTTATCGTTAGCTTTGAAGATAAACCGTTTTTTGGGGGAAAAAACAAACATTGTTTTTTTTTAAATTTGTTCTATTATTACTACTACTACAATCCTTTAGGAAAACCAAAACATAATCTACAAATATTTTATCATAGTCATCTTAAATATCAATAATATGTGGCAAATTTTTTTTTCATCCCAATCATTTAATAATTTAATCATTTTGTTAAATTGTATTATTTTTTTAAAATAATTTTAAGCTTTTTTCACTGTTTTTCCCCTTTTTTATGTTGAAAATAATATTCTTGTTTTTTTACATCTCTAGTTAGCTTTAATCTTTTTTTGATGCCACTGTCCAATAAAAAGAATTTCCAAGACTTTTATTTATAAAAAAAAATTAATTTTAAGCCGGAATCTTCTTCTCTTTAGTTCCAAAAGTTCTAACGGGCTAAAGCCCGTTGTGCCTCCCAAGCCCAGGCTCTCGCTTTCGAAAACGGACAAGTCCGATTTAAACTTTTCGTCCTCTTCGCTCAGTCCCAATTTAAGCGGGGATTTCCTTAACGGCGGGCAAAATAATACGCCCAACCATAACGGTAAGTATATCCTTTATCTTCTTTATTTCATCATAATAGTTTATTATACGTTTTGGGTTCATAGATATATATGCACAAGGATTCATTCTCACCGTATTAGTTTAGGGTTTGAGTAAGTTTCTCTATGAGCAAAGGTAGTCTTTCTAAATTATTATTATAAAAAAAATATGTCTTATGGCCAATTCAAGGTATTCGTTCGATGCTGTTTAGCTATATCGAGCGAATAGATATCCACAAATCCCGGCCCGAACGGGCTTTGGGCCGGGCCTATTTTTAACAAATATAATTTCGGTTCGGACTCGGTCGGGTTTAAATTCTCTCATTCAATTTTATATGAAATAAAATGATATTTTTTTAAAAAAAATTCTTGCAAGAAACAAGGCGCCAATTTTTTTTCTAACTTATAGAATATTTTTTTGGTTACAATTAAAAGAATTTCTAATTTTTCTATATTTTAATAAATTCGGGCTAGACCTGGCGGACAAATACTTTTTATTTCTGGGCGGGATTTTTTCGAAAAATTAAAAAAAAAAGAAGTTTTTTGAGAATCTAGCCGGGCTGAGCTTGAAAAATTAGGCCCGATGCAGATCACTAACACCTAGCTTACTATAAATGCGCCCTTAATTACATTATTAGTTTATGGTGCTCCTAACGGATATATTGATTTAACCAACTCGAATCGAATACTTGTTATTCGATCATTACTATTCGAATTATTGCATATTAAAAAAAATTATTCGATTAGTTGGGGGGGGGGGAAGTGTTACGAATAATAATATCTTTATCTAATTTCCTTCATTTTTTTATAGGGATTTTTCACATTTTTAGCTATTAAGCATTATATTTTTTTTATACGAATAACATTAAAATATGATTTGTTCATATTTAATATTCATATTATCCAAAAAAAAAATGAATAGAAATATTCCATTATTTTACTTGTTAAACCGTTTATTTATTCCTTTCCATTTATTACCCTAAAGATAAACCTGTAAGCAAAATACCTCTGTTATCCCAATCCAAAAAACGTCAAATTCATTCCAAATCCCCACTAACGACTGGTGACAGCTATCATTTATCCGAAAATTTGGAACGAACTCATCGAAATCCGGTGATCAGCGAATGCCCGAACATCGAATGTACCCAGAAGTCGCCCGTCATTTTGGTCGTTAACGGGACGGGCGGTTCCAGGCCCGTTAAAATTTTGACAAACGTAAATTCGCCGTTTTTTAATTCCATATATCCAGTTTCGCGAATACCGAATTCCTTTTTTTGTTTGTTATACGGGTGCTCATTAAAATTTACCATTAAATTTAAGACAAGTTATCACTTCCTAAAAGCTCTAAAAACAGAGATTACTACAGTGCCCTTTTCTAGGAAGAAAGAAAGACCGTTCCTAACTCTAATAACCAAGGTAAATAAAAGAGGAAAGAGCATCAAAATGAAATAATGGTGCGTTGTTAAACGGCGTAATTTCGACGATGTTTAAAATAGGCTAACTCAACAATTTAGAACAAAAGTAAAATTACCCAAGCTTGGAGATTTTGCCCGCGGATTACCTAAAGGACTCTTCACGATAACAATGTGTTGTTAAGATCTTGTTTCTCCCTTTTTCAGTTTCCATTTCCGCTAAAATGTTTTTTGATTACCAATTTTAAAGGCCTTAAAAATGGCGTCCATTCTCAAAGTATTTAACGAAAAACAATTAAGTCGTAATTCATTTTTTTATTGCTACGATTATCGTTTTTTTTCTTAATAAAGTTTGATTGTGACAACAGATTTAGAAATTAGTAGTTTCTTATCATCAATCTTTGGATTAATAATAAGCCTATTTAAAAAAAATATTAATAATTTATGAGTGTTAAATTATTTTGAGGGTTCCCAGTTCTAAATCCGCTAAAAACAAAGATAGGCGCTTATATCTCCTAGAAAATTTGAAATTGATATTAATAGATGATAGGGAAGTAAACAATATTTGTTTTTAAATGTCTATTGTGGCAAATTTTATGCTCAAAAGTTAAGATTTTGATAAACCTATTTCGTCATTAAATTTGGTCCTTTTCGAGTTTGTGCTGAACCCAGGGATCTTTCGCTCTAATAAAGTATAAAAGAACATCCCCACCATTAATTTATTTAAAGTTAAGTTGGTTACACTAATGTCGGCATCTCAAATTTACTTGTATAACTTCTTTGATAAATGGTGAAAATAATATTGTGAATTCTTTCATTTGTTACTAAGAAATATTCGCGCCATTTTTCTTAATAATATTTTAATTATTTATTTTTAAAAAGAAAACGCGCGATGCTTTTGACATGTCTACTCTGAATAAAGAATTAGATGAAATGGTCAACGGTAAAGCCTTTCTTATTTTAATATATGTTCTATTCATTTTTTGTTTTAATGGTCAGTCATTTCATAGAATTATACCTTAAATAGAAACGCCAAATTTGATTGATAGTCGACCTCGAACCATAATATCTTTAATTCTTACCCCTAATTGGGCTGATTTATAAATTTAAAAATATTTTTTAAAAAATGACTTTACGCATGCTCCAATTGTTTGTCGTTGTTGCTAAGATGTATAGTCTACGTAGATCCGGTACCCATTACTCTCCGTTACGCGGTGCATACTTTTGAAAAAAGTTTACAAGGTCCAGACTTGGCGGACCAACCCACCTGACCGATATTAGAACTTGTGGTCTTCGCAAGTCGATCTTCTGGACCGACTCGGATCGTTGAAACCTTAATCATTATTGGGAAAATAGGTTTCCCGAGAAAACCCATTTTCCTTTAAATTGTATTCTGGCTCTGCTATCTTTTTTACCTTCACCGTTCGAGATTAATCTTAGTCCTTTTTCAAACACCGTCTTTGTCCAGCTTCGCTTTGGTCTTCCTTTACATTTCTTGAATCTAGTTCACCTTTTTAACGCTGCGTTTAAAACGCGTTCTTTTAACCATTGAAAGCGTTTTAAACGCACGGTTAAAGTAACGATGTAAAATGGCCTATTATTGATTATTTTCATTATTTTTTATTTAAATAATTCTAAACATTATAAAAAAACATTAACCAAGGAGATGAAGATGTGGAAAGAACCTTGTCAAACAAATTAGCCATAATGAAGAACGAAGATATTAAGTACGCTAAATTATTTAAAAATAATTTAGTAAGTGTTGTTAAACTGCTCGATTTGAGCCGATTTTTAAAAACGGTCAACTCAATATAGTATTCAGAAAATATTACGCAAGCCTGAATATTTTGCTCATATATGGCACAAAGATTTGGATATCTATTAACGAAATCTCTAGGCATAGGTAATATTTTTCTGCTTGAAATATGGAGTTAGCCATTTTGAAAAATCGGTTCAAAACGAGCCGTTTAACAACACTAAAAGGAAGGAAGTAAAACGTAATAATGCAAAAACGTCGTTCTAAAGCCCTACGAAATCAATTTTTTTCCCCTGTTAATTAATTGGCTCAACCATGTATTGTCTAAGGACCATGTCATTTATAATTATAAATTCACATAGGAAATATATCCTAAACAAATAAATATTATTTTTTGTAATTTTTTTTTTAATGGGCTTAAATCTTTTATAAAAAAATTATTTTTTCGCGATTTCTCCAATCAGTCTTATATATTTTCCTTTCGCCAAAAAGATGGGATTTTAATATCCGGAGAAATAGAATATTAATATTAGCATAATTAGAGTTTGGCCCTAGATTTTTCCTTCACCGTCAGTTTTTACATGTTTATTTATATTAAAAAAAAATTACTATGTTTCTGTCTGATAGTCGAGATGAATTGATGGAAGCTCTCACTTTCGTCAAATGCTTAGTCAACAACACGAGCAGTTCCTCTTACAAAGGTATGTGGGAACGCCAATTCAATTACTTGCTAGCCATCCTCATCAAGCTCTTAACTCAAGAAGATGTAAGGAAAAATCAATAAAATAAATAACGCGCAATTATATCACCGTCAGTATTATTATATTTAATAGGGATTAATTATCTTTTTTTTCATTTTTTTTTTAAACAAAATTAAATGTATTTATGGAGCCCATTATTGATGCCTTATTTATGTATTTCCCTTTAGATATTTAGTATTAAAATTAAGGAATTGTGGGTAAGTGTTGTTAAAAAATAAAGATTAAGCCGGGGTTACATTTTAATCAGTTTTTATCACCAAAACCTCGAGATTTTTTCCGAAGAGAGGGTTAAACATTTCTGTCATCATTTGACAAAATCTAGAGTAATGCGCACAAATTGAGCGTTTTCGACATTTCAAATGGCCTCGTGCGAATTGGTAAAATTACCGTTTGGCGTTAGCAACCATTTTAAAAAAAAATGCAAACAGGTTTGCTTGTTCATCACCTTTTTTATTCTTAGCTGCGTAATATTGTATAAAAATTTAATATAAATAGCTTACTTATAATCCCTAAAAAAGGAATATTTAGAAATTAAAAGAAATAAGAACGCAGACGATAATATAATTTTCAAGAACTTATTTAAAATTACCATTTGGCGTTATCAACCATTTTAAAAAAAATGCAAACAGGTTTGCTTGTTCTTCACTTTTTTATTCTTCGCTTCGTAATATTATATAAAAATGTATTATAAATAACTTACTTATAATACTTAAAAAAGGAATATTTAGAAATTAAAAGAAATAAGAACGCAGACGATAATATAATTTTCAAGAACTTATTTAAAATTTCGAATCGACGATATTAATAAAAGGGGAAACCTCAATTTAAACAAGGGACGCGTTACGTTTTTTTTGTTAAAAAAAATTACGACAAAACGTAAACGCCTCAATTTGTGTGCATTATAAAGGTAATATTTATTTGGCTCAAATCTTGATTTATTTATTATTATCCATTTTTTTTAGTTTTTATTAACCAACAATAATAAGTGGAAGGGTGGGGGGTGGATTTAAAATGTTCATAAAACTATCCACTATTTCTCTCTTTTATTGCCCTTCCTTACAATACGCGATAGAACCAACTCAAGTGCAATGCGCTGGGGACCCTCAAGCAATTGATTAAATTCTTTCCACAGCTGTTCCTTCCTTACACCGAGACCACCTATCTCAAATTATTGAACGTCATAAATTGCGATGTTAAGGAAGTAAAATTTATTTATTCAAATAATATTTTCCTCGTGAAGCTATAGTCATTTCTTAATTTTACTTTTGGTTAACCTTTTAAGCTATTTTTTGAGGCAATTATTTTACAAAAATGAAAAGTAAAATATATTTTTTAAAAAAAACAGCTGATGAAGAAGAAGCTTTGGGTTCCTATAATAAAGTAAAAAGGGGAGGATACTAAAAAAAAAATTTTTTTGAAGTGTTTATCAGTTTAAGCTTTTTTAGATCATCCTTTTTTTTAAAAAAAAAAATTAAATAATTATCAACCGAATCCACAAGGTATCTAGAATGGCCGAGGAAACTTGTCACGCCTTAGCCAAGGGTATTCCCCCTTCCGTATCATTTCGCGTAATAAATCCGCTCATTCAAACGGCCCCTTATCCTACCAACCTTCACGCTATAAAAATTTTGCACCAAGTTTCTTTTAAAAAAAAAATGAAATATCAATTAAAATATTTTATATGTATATACTGCGGTTCCCCTTTTGGGAGACAAAAATATTAATCATAAGTACATTTTATTTTATTCAAGTCTTTATTATAAGTATTTGGTTTCCTAATAATAATTTTTGTTGAATGCTTAGTTCTGTTTGGTTTAAACCGAGTCATAAATAGTGTCGATAAACGGCTCATTGAGCCCCGTTTTTAAAAACGGCCAACTCAATATTTTATTAGGAAAATTATTATTGCAAGCCTTAAGACTTTGCTCTTAGATGGCACATAGGATTGAACATCTGTTAACGAAATCTCGAGGCTTAAGACAATGTTTTTCATTATGAGCCCCGTTTTTAAAAACGGCCAACTCAATATTTTATTAGGAAAATTATTATTGCAAGCCTTAAGACTTTGCTCTTAGATGGCACATAGGATTGAACATCTGTTAACGAAATCTCGAGGCTTAAGACAATGTTTTTCATTATGAGCCCCGTTTTTAAAAACGGCCAACTCAATATTTTATTAGGAAAATTATTATTGCAAGCCTTAAGACTTTGCTCTGAGATGGCACATAGGATTGAACATCTATTAACGAAATCTCGAGGCTTAAGACAATATTTTTCTGGCGAGCCGTTTAACAACACTAGACATAAATATAAATAACTTACTTTATTAATTTTTAAGGGAAAAAAAAATAACGTAAGATATTTTTAATGTAAAAATTAAATAGCATATTTCTGAATCATTTTTCGTCATTTACAAAAAAAAAAATTTTTAAAGAAAGAATGAAAGATTTTATTAATAGGGCTCCTATTTAATCGCTCAATAATTAAAACTGAAATGATCAGAAAAAAATAAAAATTCCTAAACGTTCAGAAGAAATCTTGGAGTGTGTCCTGGGGCCATTAATTACTAAACGGTAATGGCTTAATGTCGGCTAATTCGGCTTAATCTACAGTAGCGGGTAGGAGCTAATCCGTCAACATTTAAGCGTTTTAATTCTATAATTAGTTTCGTTAAAATTTGTACTGCTATATTTTTGGATACCTTGAACTAACAGCTGATTTCAATATATATGCACATTGAAGCGTCTGTCTGAGTTAGTTGGCATAAATGTCATTTGACTTTCTTAGAGCGATCAGCTGGCTTGACTTTTTTTATACGCTCGTGATAACCTTCATCTTTCACATCGAAGAGCTGTCCATCTACATGAAAAACATGTAACAAATTACTAAAATATTTTTTAATTAAAAAAAAATTAGTGGGACTAGATTATGTATACCTAAAATGTTGGTTATATTCCCGCCTTCATTGATAAAAAAATTTTAAAACTAAAAATAACAAACCTATTCAATAAAAAATGTATGGAAGTTTTTTAGATGGCGACATAAAATAGAAAAAATAAATAGGAAGTGCTCTATATCGCGAATCCATATTGTGTTTTTCTGACGGCGCTGCCCGCGAATTTCTAATATGAGCCTCGCCCATAAAATACTTTTAAAATCAATCTTTCATTAATTTCTATCCCTCCATTTTCCCACCCTTAAAATTTTGCGTCTCATAAAATAAAATGTGCTTATGTTCAAATTTAAAAGAACTGCTCTCTCATTATGACATGTACAATATATTTATATATCCTCTTCTTTTTTTTTATAAGTCACATATTCAAAAGAATACTGATAAATAAATCAGGAATTTATAATCATATCTTACAACCCCCCCCCCCCCCCACTCCTTACTCTATTTATCATTTTAATCCCTTTTTTTAGATGGTGGATAATCATGAAAGATCCGAACTAGCGCCCATGCTAAACGATATCATTTCGAATTTGATTCAGGTATCATCTTATTTTTAAGATTTTTTAAATATATTTTACTCTCTATAAATTCGATACCGGTGGGTTCGCTACTCGGATTCCGGTTGACGCCTCAAACATTCTTAACCGAGCCAAAAATGTAATCATATACAAAACCGGGCCTGAACCATAAAATGATCAATCTTAAGAGTTTTCAACCCACAATTCCCGATCCTCCTCGTGGATGTTAAATATATAAATATTATTTATATTATTTTAATTTTATTTTTTTAAAAAAAAATATATTTGAATATAGAATTGCGAAAATGTCGAAGGAACCGTCAGAAAATGTTGCGTGTTTTGCCTGGTCAGCGTTTACTCGAAATTTGGGGAGGAAGTGTTGCCTCATTTCCAACCTTTATCATCTCAAAAAGTTTAAAAAATATATTTTACTAACCCCTCAACCCCGTATGGCTTTTGCTTCCCTTTTTCGAGAATCGAGGAATGGGTAAGAAAAATTCCGATCATAATTTTTTTTGTGTTATAGACCCCTAGCCCATGTAAGATGGAATTGAAGGATGATCAAAAAATAGTGATTTGAGAAAAATTGGAAGGAAATTTGGACTTAATGATGATGAGTCTTTATTTCTTAAATAACAAATTACCGAAATATATTAAAAAATTGTTTACCAATTTTTTTTTAGCGCAAAATTTTGCAACTTTACATTGATCGGGCCAATCAACATAATACCACGACTACTCTATCTCGATGAAAATCAACCACTCCTTTTTTTTAAAAAAAACTATGTTGCAAAAATATTTATCTTGTTTTTATTTATGGTAACGATTCATATCTATTATACATTCTTATTTTCGATACAAAATACTGATTTTGAAATCTAGCTTTTTTTAGGACGAGAAAGAAAAAGAGGAGAAAAAAAATAATAATCACTTTAATAATTGTCACTTATCGCGTATTAAATATTTTCTGTTTATTTTAAAAGGAAAATCGTATCCTTTTAAAAATATTTGGGAAACAAAAGGGAGTTTCTTTTTATAGGAAATTTTTTTTTTAAAAATGTACTTAATAAAAATTATCATTTTAACTATTTCGGCCAGCTTTTTTTGTATATTCTTCGATTATCATTATTATTTTAAATTGATTAATTTATAAATAAAAAGAAGTAAATTATATAAAAAATTTACCCCTTTTATATGGTTTTACAATTACACTAGCGTCGGCTAAATATTATAGTATTCCTTATATCCATATTTTTGTTATATTTTTTTTTCAGCGGGAATCTTACAAAAAAAAACAACATATTTCTTGTATTTTAGATAGCACAGGTCACATCGTTATAATTTCGAATAATGTATTATTCTAAACTTATATTTTAGCATTTGTATTGGCTATATGGAAGAATACAGTAACTGGAGGATTGATTTATCGAGAAAAAAAATGCTAGAAAGTAGATATAACAATGTGTTCCAGTTGAACTGACACCCTTTTTGTTTTGCAATAAATCTGTCATTTTTAAAAATAATTCAATAAAATTTTATAGTTTGAGAGACGGCTATCAACGTTTTCTTTCCAACAGGGTCCAGATTCATGCACATTCAAAGTTGGGCAAACAAGATACGATCGTTTCGAACATATAAAAAAAATTTTTTTTTTATATTTGTAAATAAATGATTTTTCGTAAAGATGACTAGAGTTTAATTAAAATTTTCCCAAGAATAACATTACCGAACCAAAATGTTTTTAGAGAAATTTCCTAACAGAAACTTGGCTATCACAGCCTTGAATCGATTGATAGCAAAAATGGATGGATTAACAGAAAAAAGAGTATGGTGGTCGTAGACCATGCACAGCTCGTATTATGGAGAATGTTGATTCTGTTGAAACACTCTCATGCCAAGAAGACCGAACCTTGCACTCACAGAAAAGTTCGTCAAATATCTCAACTGATATGTCGCAACAGTAAATCGGATTATCCACAAAGAGTCGCATTTGAAATGCAATATCTAAAAAGCCGATGCCGCCTATCTATACTTTGTATTTTATATCTTTAGCCTACATTTCTTACCAAAAAGTGTGTGGGGGTGATATGGTTCGGATTAGAGGTCTGCAATGGGCGGGTTTTTAGCCAAAAGGCCCGCCCCTCGTTGTTTTGAAATTTAACTTGCCCTCCCGTTCATTACCCCCCTCCCATCTATATATTTTGTTTAACCCCCTCCTAATGTTTAAAATTATTTCAATGGCTGGTTTGGCTCTTTATTTATTTAATGTATTTTTAATTAAACTTATAAAATGTGCAATATTATGAAATAAAACTATTATTTTTAATAAATTGAAGTCTGTTCTGCTCGTTTAGGCTCTCCTATAAATAATCATGAGTTGTTACCTTGGCAATTTGGAATTCAAAATTTGGTGATATTGAAGAAGGGAAAAGATCTTTACTAACATGCTAATTTGAAATTTATAATCCGATCCCATGATTATCCAGAGGCGCCGTAACTTTTCCTCCTCAGATTTCTTGTACAAAATACATCTTCTCGATAGACATTAATTTAAAGCTTCTACATGACAGAATATTTACTAAAGGCAAACACCCTTTCTACCCAACCCTCTAAAAATCATTACTTACCCTCTGTAAGCACTGCAAAGAAATAGTAAGATAAATTCTTAGCCCAAATGGCTTAATCGTAATACTTATTTTGTTTATTCGATATAATATTTGAAATATAATCCATCTCTATATTATTTTGTACTGAATTGGGTCACCAATATTAAAATAAACTTCATTTGTCATCAATGAAAGAAGAAGATTTTCTTGATAAATTTTATATCTAATAAAAAACTTCATGGAAAAATATAATTATTATCATATATTGCAAAAAAAATCCGGGCCCGGCATGGCCGTGCAAATGGTTCCGCTGCTGGTCTCTTTGTCTGAAATAAATTAGTAGCATAGGAGAATGGGTAGACCGGGGTTATATTATCCATAAAAAAATAGATGAAGCAAGTTTTCCAAAATGTTTAAACGTATATAATATATATATATATATATATATATATATATTATATATCCCTTTGGTATAGATATATTTAAGGAAAAAATCTTTTAGTTATTTATTAATATAACATTTAAGAAGATAAATTTGCTGGGGCTGTTAAAATTTTACTGGCTAATTTTTCTTAAAAAAGGAAGAAAATTTTCCAACTTCCAAAACTTTGAAATATATTGATTGTTATTTGTTTTATGGCTCATGAATTTTTTGGTTCATCCTCAGGACTTTCACTAGTAGATGCTGACGCTTTATCAGAAAAATAATCTAAATGTTTCAGTAAGAAAACCTGATTTTTTATGGGGGTGGAAGTTGATATATAAAATTTTAAAAATGAGAGTTGACATTGTCTGATGCATATCATGGAATTTTAAAACATTTATCATTTGCAAAGCTGTTGTAAATATGTCTGCCTTTTCTGCATCGGCTAAAAACTTAAGACTTTTGAAGTTTGGATTTAGAAGTAAGCATACCTTATGTAATGACTCAGGATAAATCTTTATTTTATAAGATATATTACTTTGTTTTTAAGGGGTTTTATTGTTATTGTATAACCGTCTGAAGGTTGATATAATTTTATTTGTTTTATAGATAAACTCATTTATTGTGGGATGAGAATCTAAGCTTAGATTATCTGAGCAATCTTTGAATATTCGTAGAAAATTATTTTGCCCGCGTATGATGCTTATATCGATTTTCGCCAATCTGTTTAATTCCTGTTTACTAGCAGGTAAACCTCTATTTCACCATATGATTTTAAGAAAAATTTATATCATTATATAATATATAAAGTTACATCTCTTCATTATATTCTCGCTTAGGAGAATGACAGCAATTATCAAAAAGATAATGCATTAGTCGCTTATAAGATATGTGCCATTATCAGTCACTCTTCTAAAATTGAATTGATAACACTTTTAATATTGTCCCCCGCTTTTTTTTTCATTCATTTTCCTTCGTGATCAAAACCAAATAATTTTAATTCAAAAGTAATATTGATAATATTAGCAGGTTAAAAAAACTTCGTTTTTACAATCATCGGTTCACAAATTGATGGTCAACAAATAATAATTACGGATCATGTTTTAATCTTAATTTCATATAAATATTTGGAGATACATTATTCATTAGAATTTTTCCACTCACAGGTATATTTTTTATATTATATTGTCCATATTCAACACCAAAATTTACAAAATTAAGCCAAAATACAACGCAATCCTGGAGATTTTGCTCATGAGTGACAGAGAGGCTTGGACATTAGCAAAATCTCGGGGCTTAGGAATAATGGCGAAAATCTCAATTTTAAAAATAAGCTAAATCGATCCGTTTAACGACACTAATTTTGGTATCATCTAAATTTTAAATAAAATATATTAGCCATTAAATCTTAAAAAAAATTAATTTATATCTGATTATTAAAAATTTGGTATATTATAATACTTTTTCATATAGCGTAAATTGTATATAATATACTACAATACAATTTTAAAAAAATGACATCATATTTCTATTTTAAAAATTTTATTTAGGCGAATTATCATAATTTCTTCTAAAATATCGTCATTAAAATTTCCACGTATGTCCGACAATATAAATTTTAACGCTAATCTAGTAATTAATTAAGTTTAATATAATATATATAATGTACATGTGTTGCTGGGACACCTAGAACAATTTTCGTCAACCAGTATAATTCTGGATAAATTAAACTATTCTCTTCCCAGAAGTCTAAAATATTTGCATCCTTATTAATTCTTTTAATGAGTGAAATAATTTATAAAATGAGTTAATTGAATTTACTTTGATGCTGTGTTAATATAATTAATTTTTCTTTTCTAATGGCCATTTTTCAAAATCATCCTTATCATCATCAAGATCATTTGTAGCTGAAATTAATGTTGAAGCATTCAATAATTTATAATTTAATGATTTATATCCTTCCTGTAATTCCGTTAATAAGATTTGATATATGGGGTCTAAATATAATGATGAACAAAGAATATTATTAATTAAATAAGTATCCACTTTGGAAATATTATTTTCTATTTTTTACAATTCTAAACGGCATTTTATCCCAAATGCCATAAAAATCGGAAGTGGTTTAAAAACTACACTTATTTTAGTTATATAATCTCATTCTGTTTCCTTCGGAATAACTTCCGATGTTGTAACAAAGTCCTTATGAATTTAATTCACAGTAATAAATCACCATTATTGGAAAAAAATACAATATTAGTAAATCACTATTATAAAGAAGTAAGAAAAAAAATTACCATATTATTAAATCACCATGTTACCAAACCCCTTTATGCCCTTAAAAAATAATCGAATACAAAAATAATTTATTAATTTACATAATTAATTCTATTGTAAATTTCCCAAAAAGTTTTCTGGACCATTTATAGCTTCTGTGACAAAGAAAAATAGATTAATATACTAAATTTTACTCCACCTACCTAACTATTACTAAAAATTATGTTAAATGTTCCATTTTGACTATATCTCTCTAGATGGTAATCCATTTATCATAATTAATAAAAATAATTTCAATATTGGATTTGCTAAACCAATTAAAGATAGATGTGATAAATGCGAACGACATTTAATTAATAAAGAATATATGAATGAACATAATATTTGTAATTACAATAAACACCATGAAGATTATGTTGAAACTAGTATTGAAGAGGTATAGATAGAATTATAGCTAAGTAAAAAAAAATTTTTTAGTCATATCATTTGACCTTCAATGAGGTTGGGTCTTCATTAATATAAAAGAAAATTTTCTGTTTATAACGAAACTGAAAGTCAAGACAAATGTGGTTATTGTGCTATTTGGCATCTAGGCCAAACTGGGAGATCTGGTAATGATATTGCTTGCAATATGCTAGCATTAGTAGATGTGATATTAAAAAATTTCCAAATATCCCGCATCTAATTCTGTGGGTTAATTCCTGTGTTGCCCAAAATAAATATTCAATTATAATTTACGCTTTAAAACATTATTTAGCTAATAATAAAACTATTCTAATCGAAAAAATTCAAATAAAATATGGTGCTCTTGGCCATTCAAATTTAGAGGAGGTTGATTCATTACACAGCCAAATTGAGAGATGCCAAAAAAAAATGAAATCCATATCCCTCTTACTCCTTATAGATTAATAAGAGTGGCAAATCGCAAAAATCCCCTTTTAAGTCATTTGAAATGATTCCAAATAAATATTTAGATTTCCAATCAGCATAAAAAAAAAATAATTCAAATTTAATCATATCCCGTTCACAAAATCAAAGTCAATTAAAATCTCAAAAACGGAGCCATTTTATTTACAATATATATTATCATTTAAATCTAACGAAATAAATAAAGTATCCATTTTACTGGACTCGTAAACTCGTAGGCCTAATTTTGAACAGGAACTTGTTACAAAAAAATTTTCAAATACTAAATTTTTTGAGAAAAAATCTTTTAATTTTTAATTAAATGGATCGATAAGTTTTTCCTATATTTGATTTAACTTTAATGTTGATTTTCTCATTTTAAACATTTGCGCAAGTAGAACCACTCCAATTCTAGACCGACGATATATTAAATCATATATGAAGATTAGTAAACGGGTTACTATTAGTGTTGTTAAACGGCTCGTTTTGAGCAGATTTCTTAAAAACGGCTAACTCAATATTTCATCCAGAAATATTTCACGCAAACCTGAAGATTTTGCTCATAGAAGGAACAAAGGTGTAGACATATATCATCAAAATCTCGAGTCTTAAGCAATATTTTTCTGGCTAAAATATTAAGTTAGCCATTTTGAAAAATCGGCTTAAAACGAGCCGTTTAACAACACTAGTTTCTATATGACAAGAAAAATTTTTGCATGGTGAAATGAAAAAAATAACAAAAAAAAAGGATTCTAATTCTAAAAGATATAATAGAATTTCAAAAATATATTATAAATATTCTTAGAATTTTGAAAAAAAAAATTCTTATCATTGAAAAATTAATCACCCTCACAAAATTTATGATAAAATTTGAAACTATAAGATAGCCAATCTAATTTTTATAAATCATCAAAATATTACATGATCAAGCAAAAGCATCTTTCAAGGCTAATATTAAATGTATTAAATAATAATAATAAATTAATTTGCAATGATGGAAAAACAAAAAAGTAAACAGTGTATTTTTTTTTCTAATCTTTTGAAATCAGAGAATTTTGTATAATTATGGCTGTAGTAATCCTTTTCTCATGCCTTTTATATATATTTACTCTCGCTTTTTTTATGATGTTAAAATATATCAAATTCAACTTCCACAACTACTTCTCCCGGAGTGTAAAATTAACCAAGAGTACATGGTTCAGATTAATCATAACATGATAAAATTGAATTAGAATAAGAATGAAAATTCAAAAATGATTTAAAATAAATTTTAAAAAAAATAAATAAAGCAAAAAGTGAAGCCACTTTACCAATCTGAATTATAAATTGTTCAGTATGTAAAAAATTATAATGGTTACGGTTCTTAAGAAGAAATTTATAAAGGGTCGGTTCGGTTCAGCTAATTATAAAGGTTTATAAAGGTTCATTACTGTTAGAAATTTTTTTTTATTGAAGCAACACCATCTTCCAATTTATTTTTATTATAAGCATCTATGGATTATATATAAAAAAATATATAAGATTCAAAATAACTCATTTTTAAATATATTATTTGAACGTATAAGTAATATATTTTCTAAAATAAATGGATACCTTTTTGTTCGTTGTGACGATAACACAAATTTTAGCCCCAATCTACCGAAACTTGTGTTGCAAGAACCGCCAGTACTATAAGAGCAAGTTTATATAATTTTGGATATTCAAATTATTTCCATTTCTAAAATAAAAACTTATCCGTTTTGAACCGGTTTAACCGTTTTTACAAAGGTTCTTTTTACTCCTTCAGAAAATAATTATATAGGTTCGGTTGCGGTTCAGATATTTATAACGGTTTAACGGTATCAGGTTTTATAAATTCATCAGAAGAAATTAAATTAATTATTCGCTTTATACCCTGATTTAAACAGGCATTACACCAAATTAGTGTTTTTAAAAACGTCTAACTCAATATTTCATCCTGAATAATATTAAGCAAGACTGAAGATTTTGTTTGTAGAAGGAACAAAGGTTTGAACATCTATTAGCAAAATCTCAAGGCTTAGGCAATATTTTTCTGTCTAAAATATTGAGTTAGCCGTTTTTAAAAATCGGCTCAAAACGAGCCGTTTAACAACACTACACCAAATGATTTTTTATTTTGAAATAAAAAAAAAATTAAAAATCTTGTAAAAAATGTGTTTGATTGCAAATGATAAGATTTGAATATGTCTCAACAATAATATAAATTTACATATTGCCTCTGTTTATATTTAAATTAAAAAAATAAAATTAAATATAAGTTCTCTTATCACCTGTATTCCTTTAATTTTTAAATAGGCGACAATTATTATTATTTAATTATTTTAATTTTTAAATATTAAATAAAAAAGTATAAATTTACATTTTTTTTTTCCGGTCATGGGTTACTTTATTTGAATATTTACTGATATGATATGATGTCAAAATGTATTAGCAAATTATTAATTTTTTAAAAAGGTAAAATAAATAAAGGCCTGTCTTTCTGTTTATTTAAATTAAAAAAATAAAATTAAATATAAGTGCTCTTATCTGTATTCCTTTAATTTTTAAATAGGCATCAATTATTATTATTTAATTATTTTAATTTTTAAATATTAAATAAAAAAAATATAAATTTACATATTGCCTGTCTTTCTGTTTATTTAAATTAAAAAAATAAAATTAAATATAGGTGCTCTTATCATCTGTATTCCTTTAATTTTTAAATAGGCATCAATTATTATTATTTAATTATTTTAATTTTTAAATATTAAATAAAAAGATATAAAATAACAATTGAATAGTTCTTCTATGAACAAATTTTAATTAAAATATTTTTTTTTCTTTAGGACGATGATTCAGCCTGAGATTTAAATATGGTAAATTTATAATGGGTTACACCGTGATAGGCCTATTCAAAAACGAATTCGAATCGAATAGTGCATTATTCATATTCGATTCGTTTAATATTCGATTCGTTTGAATTCGTACGAATAATAAAATCTACTATTTGTATTCGATTCGAATATTTCGAATAATTCGAATTAATTTTTTTAATAAAATAAATCATACTGAAATATATTGACAAATTTTTTTATTACAAATTTGATTTTAAACAGAGAAAATTATAATAATATGTAATCAATAATCTGATAATAAATAATATATAATCAAGTTATAAACAAAATTAAAATATATATTATTAATTAAATTTATAATTTAAGCCAATTTTTAAGGCAAAGAGTTTTTCTTATATTTTCTTCCTTACATGACATGCGGTTTTTTGACAATAACTTAGTTCCAACTGAGAAAAGCCTTTCACAAGCAGTTGATGTTCCTTGTATAGATAGATAATCCCTTGCCATTATCGAGAGTGTGGGGATCCGATATGCATTTGCCTTCCACCACATTAACGGGTCAGTATCACTCTTTGCTCTTGGTTCACTCAGATAAATATCTATTTCACACAGTTGAATATTATTTTGTTTAAAAACAATGTATAGCCTGTTTTGTTGAATTTTATCCTTATTTGTTTGACAGTTATAATTATGAGCTTATAAAATCAAATCATATTTAAATGGGGGTAAATTAAATACCTGTATATCTATTGTAAATCTCTTTAAATTTGTCCATTAACTTGGATATATCAATATCATAATCAACAGATATTGATTTAAAATATCTACTTTAAGCCTGGGATCTAATATTGTGGTTAATATTGCATCATCGGCAGTTAAATTATAATAGCCCAACAATTTATCACTGCTACTTTGAAACTATTGTTAAAGGATTTATGGAAACCAGGTTTTTCATTTTTTAG